CTCTTCCGAGAGAGTAGGACGGAGGGCCATAGTGACGACGAGTACCGACAACGGAAAAAGAGATGATCAAGGGTTTCAGCCTGTTCATCACAAAGCAAGCAAGCATGAGAAACATCCAGACCCCAAGCAATAAGTCGATCCCGGGTCGGAAGCCTGTTCAGAGCAGCCAACCAGACAACAAAGGAGAGTGTTTAGGAATAGCACCAGCAAACCAAACCTCTTCGTACCAAGGAACAACCGGAGATAACAGTCGATTCAGGTTCCATGCCTTGCTTGTGGAGAAGCGAGGTAGGGAGAATGACTCAGACCAATAAAAAGTCATTGGGACCCGAGGACATATTGAGATCGAACTCTACTTGTCTTTGACAGAAATTATAATCTAATACAATGTAGCAATGGGATGAAAGAATGGGTTGATCGAGAGAGATACGTGACACTATGGACATGTAAATGAACACAAGCCTCTATTTATTTGATTAAAAATAAAATCTGTTTTTCTAAAGTTTTATAAAAATTTAAATAAATTATTAAATGCCTGGGTAACATCCCGGAAAAACATCGAATTTGTTAAAATATAGAAAAAAAACTCTGAACTTAAAAAGTTGTCATTTAATACCCAAACTTGCAATTTGTAACCGAAAAAAAACCTGGAACATGCAAATGGGTAGTCTAATAAACCGTTGACTACGTTGACCAAATTTTCAGGCAATCGGAAGTCCATGTATTGTCGGATTGTTGATATCAGCATTTACACGTCATCGGGTTTAATTAAAAAATTGACATCTCGATGTAACGTATCTTCTTAATTTAATACACTAATGCTATAAACCGAAAAAACTTGAGAATCAATTCGACGGCGTGGCAACCGCCGTCCGCCATCAGCGACGCAACACATGGCCAAAAAGAAGAAGAAAGGCCACGTTTCTCCAAGTCAACAGGGAAATGATTCTCCGAGACGTTCCTCAGGGGCATCTCCGTCACTCGGATCCCGCCACCAAGCACCAGATCTGTCATCTCCGTCACCAGATCCGCCGTCTCGGATGCCAGATCCGCCGTCTCCGACGCCAGATCCGCCGTCTCCGACACCAGATCTGCCGGCTCCAACCCCAGCAGCGCCCTTGAATCTGATTTTCGCTGCCGGAACCTCCCCCGATTTGCGGCTGCCTCCAACAACAGCAACGGCTATAGTCCCCAGTATTTCTTCTCTTTCTACTGCATCTCAGGCCCATCACCAGAAACCTGTTGGGTCAGCAACCACGCTTGGGAAAGCTCAGTCTCCTTCCATTGTTGAGTTCCCCCCTCTGCCTTCGGCCCCCTCTCGACTCACAAGGTCTGTTGCACAACAACCGCCTACGGGAACCCCTTTACCTATCAACTCTTCGCTGGCTCAGTCCACACTACCAGACCCAGGTAAATCCTTCCCTTGGGCACAACGGTTAAAGGCTTCCTCCAGGAATTTGAGTAGACTGGCCACCCCACAAATGTCGGCTAAAGGAACGCCTAGGATACGTGTCCCGAGCTCGGTCTTAATTGAAGCTTCCCAAAACTGGAATGGTTATCTTGTTGGGAATTTCTACGGCCTAGCACCATCGGGGTCGAAGCTCTTCCAAATCTTGAATCCGATTTGGGGCAGACGATCCAAAATCCATGTGCGCAGAATTAATAATTCCTCCTGTTTGTTTCACATTCCGGATTTGGCTACACGAGAATGGGTGCTTGAAGTGGGTCTCTGGAGGGCAGCAGATGTGATGTTTGCAGTTGCAGAATGGTCGACAACAGCCACTTTTCGGAAAACAATGCTAACGTCGGCTCCGATATGGGTCAATCTCACTAATATACCAGCTGAGTTGTACTCATTAAAAGGCTTAAGTTACATAGCCTCGGGTTTAGGAGAGCCCTTACACACGAACAAGATGCGATTAGACCCGTTAACTGTGGGAGAAGCAAAGGTCAAAGTGGAAGTACAATTGGATGCCCCTCTCCCTGAGTCTATAGAAATCGAAGATGAGGAAGGATCGGTGATCACAATCAATGCGAACTATCCTTGGACACCGCCGAAGTGCTCGGGATGTGGTGAATTCGGGCACAAACTTCAGAGCTGCCAGCTTAAGTCTGTGCAATCGCAACCACAGGTAACAGTTACTGAGAGGTCTAGGGAAACAACGGAAACTGAGCCAGAGGCAGGGCCACCGTCGTCGGTAGGTCCAAAAAACTTTACGCCACCAGATACAACTCCAAATGGCCCGGCTTCAAGTTTGCAGCCCACAGCATCGGTGGCTTCACCGATTGCCCATCCGGTTGACACAGTCTCTGCATCTCCGATTGCTCCATCAGTCAACATAGAATCTGCTCCTCAGATTACCCTGCCAGCGACCACCATTATCTCTCCTAGTCCGATGGTTATGTCTACAAGAGAGCAGTCCTGTCTCTTGTCGCCCCAACCCCTCCCTACAAGACAGCAATCTCCTCCACAGGAAATAGCCCAATCTAAGTTTCACTTCGATAATGAGGACCAGATTATTTTGGAGGCACAAAGAGTGTTGCGTTCTAGAGCTACGAGAACCTCTCGGGATCTTTCCGACTTCACTTTGGTCGGAAAGGCTCGAAAGGGGAAAGGTAAAATGCAGTGATTGCACAGCTCCCATGATTATTTTGGATTTTGGATTTTGGATTTTGGTATTTTGTCAGCCAACGATGCGAGTTTTTTGTTGGAATACACGCGGCCTAAATGGCGCGCAAAAACAGCGAGCAGTAAAGGATTTGATCAGTTCGTCGAGTTCATTGCTTGGAGGTCTAATTGAGACTAGAGTACGCGAGGAATCTCATGCTTTGCAGATTCTTGAATCCCTGGCTCCTAATTGGAATATACACCACAATTACAGCAATTCAGAACTTGGCAGGATCTGGGTTATATGGGATCGCTCTCTGGTGGTCACGACTTATTCCACCTCGGACCAGATGGTTACTTGCGGGGTCTTCAATCCCTCGACCAATACCTACTTCACAGTCTCTTTTGTTTATGCCCGTAACACAGCAGCGGAGCGTCGAACTTTGTGGTCTGAATTATGTGTTCTGTCAACACATCCTCTACTCTCGGCTAGGCCATGGCTTGTCCTGGGTGATTTTAATCAGGTTCTTCGTCCGTCTGAGCATGTCTCACCAACCTTCCCTTTTGTGCCGCATACGGGAATGTCAGAATTCCAAGATTGTCTTCTCTCTACTGGTCTCTTTGACCTAACAGCCTCCGGTCTTTTCCATACATGGACCAACTTCTGCGTGCAGAATCCGATCTCTCGAAAACTGGATAGAGCCCTTGTTAATGACTATTGGATATTGGAACACCCTGATTCACATGCGATCTTCGAATCTCCAGCTCCATCAGACCATTCCCCATGCATCGTCCATATCGACCAACCACAGAATCGAAGGAAACGCAGGAATTTCAAGTTCTTTCTTCACTTGCTAAAGCATCAAGATTTCAACCGAAGGGTTCTTGAAGCTTGGAGCAACTCACCGAACCAGGGTTCACAAATGCTCTGTTTGTCCCAAAAGTTGAAAAGGCTAAAGGTTGGGTTAAGGGAGTTGAACCGTCTCGCTTTTAGTAATATTCAAGCAAGGACAAAACAAGCTTTCGAGGCACTCAAAGCAGCACAACACATGCTCCTAGAGAGGCCTACCCTAGAGGCAGCACAAATAGAAGCGGAGCTGAGATCTGAATGGGCTCGTCTATCAGGGGCGGAGGAAACATTTTTTAAGCAGAAGTCTAGACTTCGTTGGCTGTCAGAGGAAGATCAGAATACTAAATTCTTTCATCGGGTTGTTGTTTCTCGTCAATCGACTAATGCCATCCGCTCTCTTGTGACTGATGCAGGGGTTCGGGTCTTTGAAGAGAGCGAACTTAAGCGCATGGTGGTTGGTTATTACAAGCAGATTCTGGGCTCGACAGATGCAAATCTGGTTTGTTGGCAACCTCGACAGCTTAGGGAACTCTTACCATCCCGTTGTAGCTCTTCAATGGCGCATTCTCTTTCAAAATTACCTGATGAGGCGGAGATTAAGAGAGTGATTTTTTCACTTCCGAAAGGCAAGGCACCAGGGCCAGATGGTTTTCCAGCAGAGTTTTTTACGGAATGTTGGGATATTGTAGGGCATGATGTTATCTCGGCTGTGATGGAGTTCTTCAGATCAGGTTCTCTGTTGAAGCAATGGAATGCCACTTCCATCTCCCTGATTCCGAAAGTCAGAAATGCAGATAAGTTAAAGGATTATAGACCAGTTTCTTGCTGCAATACGGTTTATAAAATCATAGCTAAAGTTCTGGCAAGGAGGTTAAAGATGGCACTACCAGACTTGGTTGGGTCGAACCAATCAGCTTTTATCCCTGGACGTTCTCTTGTCGAAAACGTACTTTTGGCAACAGAATTAACAGCTGGTTTTAAGGCTCGTGGATTACCTAGATGGGCATTGATTAAGGTGGACCTTAGTAAGGCCTTCGACACAGTGAATTGGTCATTTGTGACACGCATTTTAGAGGCATTGGATTTCCCATTGCAGTTCATTCTGTGGATTCAGGAATGCATTTCGACTCCTACTTACTCAGTTTCCTTCAATAGTGAATTGATTGGGTTCTTCAAAGGGAGAAGGGGGTTGAGACAAGGGGATCCACTATCCCCTTATCTCTTTACCCTTGTGATGGAGGTGTTATCTAGATCTCTGGACTCTGAGGTTGGTGATAGGAGGATTACGCTACCTAGTTGTTGCCGAGACCCCCAAATATCATCCCCATCAGTAAAGAGAGCTGTCTTGGCCTTGTTTAGTTGCAGGCCAGACGTTAAGTAGAACCGGTGGAGAGTGTCCATGACATTACTCAAAGATTCTCTCGATGCATCTGAGAATACAAGGATGTCATCGGCGAACATAAGATGTGATTTGGGGGTCTCGGCAACAACTAGGTAGCGTAATCCTCCTATCACCAACCTCAGAGTCCAGAGATCTAGATAACACCTCCATCACAAGGGTAAAGAGATAAGGGGATAGTGGATCCCCTTGTCTCAACCCCCTTCTCCCTTTGAAGAACCCAATCAATTCACTATTGAAGGAAACTGAGTAAGTAGGAGTCGAAATGCATTCCTGAATCCACAGAATGAACTGCAATGGGAAATCCAATGCCTCTAAAATGCGTGTCACAAATGACCAATTCACTGTGTCGAAGGCCTTACTAAGGTCCACCTTAATCAATGCCCGTCTAGGTAATCCACGAGCCTTAAAGCCAGCTGTTAATTCTGTTGCCAAAAGTACGTTTTCGACGAGAGAACGTCCAGGGATAAAAGCTGATTGGTTCGACCCAACCAAGTCTGGTAGTGCCATCTTTAACCTCCTTGACAGAACTTTAGCTATGATTTTATAAACCGTATTGCAGCAAGAAACTGGTCTATAATCCTTTAACTTATCTGCATTTCTGACTTTCGGAATCAGGGAGATGGAAGTGGCATTCCATTGCTTCAACAGAGAACCTGATCTGAAGAACTCCATCACAGCCGAGATAACATCATGCCCTACAATATCCCAACATTCCGTAAAAAACTCTGCTGGAAAACCATCTGGCCCTGGTGCCTTGCCTTTCGGAAGGGAAAAAATCACTCTCTTAATCTCCGCCTCATCAGGTAATTTTGAAAGAGAATGCGCCATTGAAGAGCTACAACGGGATGGTAAGAGTTCCCTAAGCTGTCGAGGTTGCCAACAAACCAGATTTGCATCTGTCGAGCCCAGAATCTGCTTGTAATAACCAACCACCATGCGCTTAAGTTCGCTCTCTTCAAAGACCCGAACCCCTGCATCAGTCACAAGAGAGCGGATGGCATTAGTCGATTGACGAGAAACAACAACCCGATGAAAGAATTTAGTATTCTGATCTCCCTCTGACAACCAACGAAGTCTAGACTTCTGCTTAAAAAATGTTTCCTCCGCCCCTGATAGACGAGCCCATTCAGATCTCAGCTCCGCTTCTATTTGTGCTGCCTCAAGGGTAGGCCTCTCTAGAAGCATGTGTTGTGCTGCCTTAAGTGCCTCGAAAGCTTGTTTTGTCCTTGCTTGAATATTACTAAAAGCGAGACGGTTCAACTCCCTTAACCCAACCTTTAGCCTTTTCAACTTTTGGGACAAACAGAGCATTTGTGAACCCTGGTTCGGTGAGTTGCTCCAAGCTTCAAGAACCCTTCGGTTGAAATCTTGATGCTTTAGCAAGTGAAGAAAGAACTTGAAATTCCTGCGTTTCCTTCGATTCTGTGGTTGGTCGATATGGACGATGCATGGGGAATGGTCTGATGGAGCTGGAGATTCGAAGATCGCATGTGAATCAGGGTGTTCCAATATCCAATAGTCATTAACAAGGGCTCTATCCAGTTTTCGAGAGATCGGATTCTGCACGCAGAAGTTGGTCCATTCTGTATCTCTGACTTAGGATGGAGGGTAACACATTCCTTCATCCTTGTAGACGTTATTACACAGGAATAATATTTACATTTTTAACAAAAAAAAAAAAAAAAATTGACATCTCAGCAGTTTTTTTTTTAGAAACGAAAACCGGTCTTAACCCGGTTTATCAGTTTATTAAACCGGTGCGAAACGAAAAAACCCTAAATCTCGAAAAAGAAAATCGAAACCCTAAATGTCGAACAGCAATAAGGGATTTGAAGAAAAATTGAAACAAAAAAATGACCAGACATATTCGCTGCTTCCGACATCGAGACCTTACTTTTCATCGTCCTCGTCCTCCTTTGGCGTTGCCGTCCTCCACCGTCATATATAATCGCCATTACCATCTCTTCGACGAGAAAGAAGAGCAAGTGATTTTGATAATGGAGGACAAGACCGGAAGCTATACGACGATGTTTCTGAATTCGATTGATGATAGCGAAAAATTGGAGATGATTTTTTCTGGCGGCTGGACAGAGAGTTCAACAAGGTTGAAATGGAGGAAGTCAACGAATTTAGCAGACAATTGAATGTTTTCATTGTTCTCAGAATCAAAGTGGAGAACCCAATCGCAAATCTTCCTGACATTAATGGCTTTCACTCTTCCTTTTTTTCTCTAGAACACCAGAGCAATAGAGTTCCGATGAGTTTTACACAGATTTAGCATCTGGTTTTTTAAAATTTCTTCGAGATAAGCTTGATTTTTGGTTGGATAATGGATAATGATTTTGGGTTCCTGAAATTCCATTTGTATTTCTTCAAGTTATCAACTTTTCTTTTTTGGTACAAATTTACTACTTCTGGGATTTATCACCGGTATTTCATTCTTAAACCACCATCTTCATCTTCACTAAATCTCTCTCTCTACACAGACAAGAAAGATGAAGAAGATTTGGGTTGGGAACCAGTTTGATGTGCCATCGATCATGATCACTATGTAGCGGGCTTTTGTGACTCGCTAAAAAATGGATCGAGTCGGACTGGACTAAAAAAATTTCAGATCGGAATGGGTTGGACTGGACTAGAATTAAGTTTGTCGTATAGTTTGACCGGAAAGGTCTGCGTAACAATCAAGAAAAATATAACGAATAACTTTCATGGATACCCACCTCATGGTCGTCGAGTAGTAGGCGCTCCTGGTGGCCAAGTCTCTTTGAGACTGTTAGGCGCAGGAGGTGGTCAGTTCGACTCTACAGGCGGGGAGGGAGGGATGCATTTATGCGTTACTCTAAAGACTGCTCCCGGACCTGGGAAGATGTAGGTTAGGTCGAAGGTCCAGGTAAACTTTCCGGTTAACCCAAAAAAAAACTTTCATAGATAGTTTGTGTTCTACCCAAACCCTTGGGCCCACTTCTATACTTCTAACCTATTTCACTCACTCACTCTCCACCGTGAATAACGACAAACAAGAAGACAACAAAATATAATATTAGAGATATACACAATTATCTGATATTTTGTCGAAATGTATAACAAACCTAATCAATAATTAAGAAAATAACCAAATTATCTATTTGCACTGCTTTCTATTTGGTTTCGACTATTTGAAAATTTTTAGATTAATTTCGGAATGCATACTCTCAATCCTGTGTTTGTTCGATCTCTTCGCAGATGCACTCTGACTTCACCCTTGTAAGCAACGTTTGAATTTTTATACAATTTACGTTTAACAAAAAATAAAATCACAATTGTTGCGATTTATTCCAACATTAACTACATATATTAAAATCGTCACGATTATTTTTTTTAGCAGAAAATCATCATCTATTATTTAAATTTATCCTTAATTTTAAATCAATATAATATATGCTTAATTTAAAAGTTAAATATTATGCTTAATTAAATAATGTAAAATTAAGTATAATATATGGACAAAATTTTAAATATAATATTTATAATCAATAAAATATACTTAATTTTAAATATAATATTTGTATACAGATTTATTATATAAAGGGTGATATTTATAAATATTTATATAAATTCTAAATATTAATATAGGATAAATTTAAATAAATATTATATTTTTGTGATGTTTAGGATTATATGATTTATATATTATTCAAATTTTATAGATTTTTCTAACAAATTAAAATATAATATTTTTTGAATAATTTAGATAATTGATGAATTTTGTTATTGACATTAATACTTGATTGTTTTGTATAACAAATTTAAAATGAAGTATTGCTTTTAAACAATTTATATAGTTGATGATCTTTTTTGTTCAAAAACAATGGTTGATGATTTATTATATTGAATTTTAAGTAGATTTTTTTGTTTTGTTTAAGTGAGATATATTTTATGAATACTGAAATTGTATTCTTAATATGGACATGATTTTGTTTTTGGCTAAATACTAAACAAGTTAGGAACTAATTAATCTTATTGTTATTCAATCATAACTAAAGACATGTACCAAACTTTTAAAGAGTTTTTCTTCGTTACAGTTTGCCTTATCGATCAATGTTTTATGAAACATTGACCCCCACTAACAACCAACATAAATGTACATTTAATTTGCACATTTTATTTTATCAAAGAGTTTATAATGGGAATTATTTTCTTAAGTTTTCTTATTTTACTTTTTAATATTGACATGCATAAGCTAACCGTTCGTCAGGAGATTGTAAAATGTTTGTAAAATATGTGTATAAATGTGAATGTATACATGTATATGTAAGTGTGTATATATGTGCGTATATATATGTTTAAATATGTATATATGTGAGTCTGAGTACAGGAATGTTTATGCTGACGTGGAAATTTTATATTATATTTTTGGCTGATGTGACGGTAATATGCCATTTAATTGGCATTTATTTTACATCGAAGTTTCAGCAAATACGTCGTCGGATTCTTTTAGACGGTTAACACCGTTAATAGTCATAAGAGAGTTTGATAACTTTTAGATAATTCCAACATTTTTGTAATATTTTTAAAATTCGTTTATTTATATGTCACATTTTAAAAGATGTTTAGTCATGGCCCATTAAATAAAGTCATTGTTATCATTTATTTATTTATTTATTTATTTATTTTTTCTATCTGTCTATCGACGCAACAAAAACGTTTTCAATTTCTGCCATTGGATCTATACAAAATAGCGGATCTAAATATTTTATTATCCTTCAAGATTGAACTAGTTCGTCCTATAATAAAAAAAAACTAAAACATGGTTAAGAAAAATGAAACAAAGAAAAAAAAAGTTAAAAACAAGAGATTACGAGTTCAAATCAATTTTTCTAAGAAAGTTATTTATTCTTGAAGTTTAGAGAAAATTCTGGAATAAATTTACAATAAATACGAGTTTAGAATTATTACAAATGGAAAAAAAAATGATTTTGTTTGGTTTGAAACTCTATTTTCTTTTGGCTTATGTGGAGAGATTAAGGTGTTATATATATATATATAAAATAAATATGTGAATTATATAACAAAAACTAATGTGGGGACCAAGAACAAACCATGTGATTAGAATATACACTGTTCTCTCCAATTTAAGGTTCGAACTCGGGGCGAGACAAACGTTTTGCGTTCCCGTTTCACTAGTTGAACTATCCAAGTTGGATCGTTTAACTGATTGAACCGAAGATGGCGTTGTTTTCTATCCTGGTACCCTCTACTTCGAACTGAAGCTTTCCGACCCTTGCTAAATTTGCGGATACTCTTCTTCATATTCAATTTCCTAGTTGACGAAAACGTTAAAACAAAATAACTCAAGTGGTTGTTCGTTGTTGACTAAAGAGATTTGCCCCGCCTATAAATATACTCGTATTTCTTATTCAACATCACCCCCCAAGCAAGACCTCAGAGTTTATCATTCACCATATTGTATAATCTTGACAATGGCTTCTCTTTCGCTTGGCTCCCCTCTTATTTGCAGAAATGCCATTCCGAAAACCATGCAGAAACCACGTCGCACTCCTCCGCGTTTCACTTGCCCCGTCGTCGTTGCTGGAACGGCCTCGGCTGAGGCTGTCGTTGTCCGTCGGTCCGGAAACTATCGGCCTTCTCTTTGGGACCAGAATTATATCCAATCGCTTGAGAACAGATATGCCGTAAGTACACCTCCATTCATGTATGTAACATACACACATATTAATAGGGAAATATTTTTCTATTATTAATAATTGAAAGATTACACCTAATATATAGTAAAATAAAATAGAATATTTTAGGTATAATATCTAGGGTAAATCATAACAATATTAATGATAATATTCTAGGAATAATATCTTCTTATACATATAAGATAAAGATCATTAAATGACTGTGTGTGTGTTTCATAATCTTTTCCTAATAATATACTTGCAATGCGCGCATGCCGAAGTTTGTTTAAATTAACGAAGTTTGTTTATATATATATATACATTCGATCGTATGCATGCAAATGATCGTGATATTAATGGGATGTAGAAAGAAATTATAGTCCAGGAGAGAGCCAATTTGTTGAGACAAGAAGTGAAGAAGAGGCTGGATGAAACAGAAGGTCCTCTCCAACAACTAGAGCTTATCGACACTCTGCAAAGGCTCGGACTTTCGTATCATTTTGATCACGAAATTACGACTGTTCTAACGAAAATTCACGAGGGAAGAACAAATAACGCTGGAACATGTAACAAAATTGAAGATTTACATGCAACTGCTCTCGAATTCCGTCTCCTTAGACAACATGGTTTCTTTGTCTCGCAAGGTAATGAATCGACATGTACTTCCCTCATAAACTAATAAACCATATTACTATTAAAGAAAGTAAATACAATATTATTAGCAAATTTTCTTGTTATTTGTTTCTAATTTTTTTTCATATCAATGGTATTGAGAGACTAATAAGAATGTAACCCATGTAGATGTTTTCGATGATGTGAAGAACGAGAAGTCATATGAATCTTTTTTAAAAGGCTCAGACGATGATATCAAAGGCTTGCTCTCTTTGTACGAAGCTTCGTACCTTTCGACAAAATCAGATTTTGAACTGAAGGAAATCCGATCTTATTCGAAGAAGCGACTAAGTGACGTAATCAACAAAAGCAACACAAGCGATGAGAAGGAATCATGTATTCGTGAGATGATTATCCGATCATTAGAGATGCCGTACCACTGGAGACCATCCACTTTAGAAGCTAGATGGTACATAGATGTGTACGGAAAGAGACAAGACATGGATCCCTTTTTGCTAGAATTCGCCAAGCTTGATTTCAATATCGTACAGTCTTTCTACCAAGAAGATCTGAAATCCGCTTTCAGGTATACACTTATTTAAGATGTTTTGCTTCTATATATACATATATAAAACCTTGAGACTAATGCATTTCTTTTGTTTTTCAACTTATATAAAGTTGGTGGAACAAGACAGGGCTTAAAGAACTTGACTTTGCGAGAGATAGAATACTTGAGAACTATATTTGGAACGTGGAATTATTTCATGAGCCTCAACTTGGAAACCAACGTCGAGAAGTCGCCAAAACTTTTGCGTTAACTACAACCATTGACGATATTTACGATGTTTATGGCACTGTGGAAGAGCTTGAGCTCTTCACAGAGGCGGTCCGAAGGTATAAACATTCTAACTCTAGTTACATAATAAAATAACACAACATGTAATCCATCGACTTACTCGAATTATAAATTATTGCAGATGGGATGTGAACCTTGTCGATGAACTTCCAGAATACATGAGGGTTTGTTTCCTCGTCTTGTACAATGAGGTCAATCAGACCGGACATGATATTCTCCGTCATAAAAATTTCAATGTCATCCCTTATCTTAAGAAAGCTGTAAGTATATATTTACTATATTTTGAACTTTAATGATATGGTTAGAGTGGATCTGGTTTTGTTTAAAGTTGTTAATTATATTTTTGCAGTGGACCGACTTAACGAGCGCATGCCTAATAGAAGCAAAGTGGCACAAGAGTGGATACAAACCCACATTCAAGGAGTACATCGAAAACGCAAGATTCTCAATCTGTGGCCTGGTGATATTAATTCACTCTTACTGCGTCTTGGCCGACAAAATCTCAAAGGAAACCATAAAAAGTTTGGTCGGAGATCGTCAACCCATTGTCAAAGGCTCCGCCACCATCATGCGTGTTGTCAATGATATGGGAACTTCAACGGTCAATTTCTAACGATCTCTAATCACTTTCATATAGTATCTATATTAAACGACGTATATAAGTTTAGAAATATATTGATTTTTGTTATGTTTGATCAAATTTCATGGTCTAGAAATTGAATGCAAGTTATCTATCTCCCATGTTTTTTTTTTTGGTAAACTCTATCTCCCAAGTTTATTTGTAGGGTTTATGTTTTTCGGTTATGTAAGTTATTTTTGCCTATTTTTGTTTTACACATTTATGCATGAAATATCGACAGCATGAGCTAGCAAGAGGGGACGTACTAAAATCCATGCAATGTCACATGCATGAGACGGGGGGGTCCCATACGGAAGCACGTGATCACATGATGGACGTGATCAGCGATGCATGGGACGAGATGAATCACGAGAAAATGGCACGTGGCTCTTCACTCCATCCTCGTTTCCTACAGACAGCGATCAATTTGGGACGCATGTCACTGTGTATGTATCAGTACGGTGACGGCCATGGTTTTCCCGACAGCGCCAAGACGGTCGACCGTACCAAATCTTTGATCTTGGACCCCATTCCGCTCTATTAAACAACTCTTTGTTACCAGCCATTTGGAGTTTGGCATATGAATGTGAAACTTAATTAAGATATGTACACTCGAGGCGAAAGGTTTCAACTTTTCGACACCATGATCTAGATATATATTCGAATAAAACGACTCGAGTTCTACGGCAGACCAAGACGTGCATATATACATATATATATATATATATATACGTTATATTTTATAACAGTCCTTGATCGGTCAACGCCTTTGACTTCACCTCTCTCGCATTCGCGTAAACACCTCCAACATCTCCTTCTGCATCCACCAATATATATATACACACATATATATAAATATTTTAGTTTTCCAGAATTCGTATACAAAATCAGTAGCTATAAGGGTTTTAAGTTGAATGATGGAGGATATATGGTGAAGTTAAGAGTTGTCACATGATATTTAATTAAGATTTTAATAAATCAAATGATAAATAGAATTTGATGCGAGCCAAGTACTTACGGATTGTAATAACGAGGAGGAAAGCCAACAAGGACGACTTCAAAGCAACAAGTTTTTGAATGTACGAAAATTCTTTTTTTTTGTTGGTAAAAGTGAATATACGAAAGTTGTATTTATAGTGGAAAGAAAAATGGTGCTTTGAATGTATATATTGCACTCCAATTAGCTAAGAAATCGTGAAAAATAATATTTATACAATCGAAATTAAAAAATCATAATCATATTCGGGTATCTTAGTGAACAAATATTGAAAATTATCTACAAACACCATGTATGTATGTGACTTGTGTGATGAAATCTACCATTTTTAACAAAAAAGATTGGAAGGACGTTTAAAAAAATCAAATAAAATCAAAAGGAGGTAGTAAAAATTAACAGAAAAAAAAAATATTTGTAACAACTCAGATTTATTTAAAAAAATTAAAACAAAAACTCTGAACCGTCCGGTCCAGATATGCCAGACCAGACGGACCACGACCAGACTGGAACGGACGGACCCGGCAGTCCCGGAACGGACAGACTGGACTGTCAGCAGTGATCAAAGTCGCGATTTTCGTCCGGATTTGGCTGAAAGCGACGTTTACCCACCAATCCTCGATAAAAATCCTAATTTTTCAACGTCTGGACCCGAATTCCATCTAAATCCGTCCAATTTCGAGTTTATACATAACCCATCTCCCTCTTCATTCTTCTTCAACTTCGACCCGAAATTTCTCTCTCAAAATCCGAAGATTAATGCTCAAATCGGTTTCTACAGAGGAAGATAAGCGTCCCCAAGCTTCTCATTCATCATACAGCACAGGAGGTTAACCCGAGATGAGTGAATTCGAGTTTAATTCGGAAGTCTATTGACATGGAATTTTGCGTTTTTGGGAGATTCATGCGAAATTGTTGCTTGATTCTTCTTTTACATGAAATTTTATGAGTTTTAGTGTATTACCCATAGCAAATCAACTTGTTTGTGTGTTTTTGATGAACTCCGAGGGCTAGAACATTCGGTCTGAGGTCAAACCGTTCGTTCCAGGTCTGCAGGAGAAATCGCGAAGTCTAGAGGTTGAAGACGAAGTGCAGACCATCCGTTCTGGACAGTCCGGAATGTCCGTTCTGCACCAGCCAGATCGTTCGGTCTAGACAAGGCGGAACGTCCATTCCGAACCTAATATTACCTCGGTTCAAATAGTGAAAAAGTGAAAATGTAAAATATACCGAAAATACGGGTCAGATCGGATCCCACGTAGTCTGGAACCAAAATGAATAACAGATAATGTTTATCATTGATTCTATGTTTTCGATTCCTTTTTATTAGAATATTAGTATATATATATATGTATTTGCTTTCCCTGGTCCCATGAGAATAGGACTCCGGGTTACGTCCGAGTTCACTCTCTAAGCAATTAGCTTAGGACGTTGTTACACAACGTTTCAGGTCGTGAGCAACAGTAGCCGAGGAGCGGACATCGGAGATCCGGGCAGTGTACCACTACCGATCATGTATAATTACGTATTTTGATACATTTATATTTTGGGAAATGGTTTGTGTTATATCGGTGGTAGACTTTTAAGGTTTGTAATAAGGTTATACTACCACTCGACTATGTATAATTATAAGTGAGAATAATGTATCATAAATGTATATACGAGTGTTTTCTTCCGCTAACTTTGAAAAGAAAAGTTTTAAATTCCCGCGGATTTTTGGAATTGGGTTTTATTTTAATTATCCATGTGACGTAGCTCGTATTGCGGGATACGGGTTTTGGGTATTACAATATTTCTTTGAGAAATTTTTTTGAAAAATTTTAAAATAAATTAGGAAGTGTGTGTATATATATATTCAATTTAGTGTTAGTTGTTGAACTTGAAAGTGAAATACCATAAATAGTTTTCTACTTGATCATTTTATTCAAATAAAAACGATATTTGGAACATTCGGGAAAAAATGCCCTTTATTTGTGACTAAAAAGTTGTATTTTAGGGTTTATAGTATTATTTAGGCAAATCGAATGGGCCATAATTAAATCACACCCATTTGATTTTGGAGTCCAATAGGTCAAACGAGGTTTGCATAAGGAAAATCAAACCGAATTGTAACATTTTTTCATATCATTATTCAGATGACGGATCCTCGATCAATACCTTATCACTACTTTGACCATAGGGGTGGCACGAGTTCGAATTATATTACTCGTCGAACAATTTTTGTATATCCGCGGATATTTGAATCTCATGGATTCTAAACATAATTTGATTAAAAAATTCATAAATCTGTAGATTATATACAAATAATTTATAAAATCAATTAAAAATATTTATATCTAAAATAACTATAGGTTATAAAACGAGAGATTTTTGCATAAATAAATATAAAAACAATTGTATCATTGATTATCCGATTTGAATTTAAAATTTGAGTTTTAGATATACTAAAGTCGATCTCTATCTCAACCAAAGACGGATATGCGAAATTTTGGTATTTTTGCTTAGCCTACTTTGACTATTTGAAATTACCGTAGACTTGATCGAAATTAGATTCCAATACCATTTGATGAGCTTCCGAAATTCGAACCGAATCTCAAAGAGAATTGTACGTTTCGGTTGGTTCAATGTGTAAAGAATTCACTAATCTTTTCTCAGACTGCTATAGAGAAAAAGTTCGACAAGAGTTTCAAAACCCTAATCTGAGAGAGAAACTTTTTTTTTTTATAAGCAGGATGGTTTCCCGGACCTATGGCCCGACTATATCCACCTAGACCCGGAACCAGTCTTTGTATATGGACCATTTTAATCCAAAAATTACATCTCTTCCCATTAATGGAATCAACCACTGGACCACCAACGGTTGGGTGAGGGAGAAACTTTTAATTACACACTTCAAATTCCGAGAGAATCTCATGGAGATTGGTATCTACTGCTTATAGTGATATAATTCTTCAAATTAATACGTAGGATCCAATAATACTCGTAGTTTTATTATTTGATAAAATAAGGTTGATTTGGCAGGTAGAAAAATTCATTAGTCAGCCGAATTCAAAACATATAAAATCTTCACCTTGACAAAATAATTGTAGTCGATAAACACAATATAAACAATCATATTATTATACAATTTTTTTTATTGATAATATTTTACGTTTCTTGTATTATTTAGTAGTTTTTTTATATATCCAAAAAGTATGTTTAGAATCTTCACTAAATATATATATATATATATATATATACATATGCATATATATACGTTACATTTTATAAACTAACGAAATTGTATATTTAAGAAGGCACTTAAAACATGGCCTTTTATTGCTAAATACGGAACAAGTGAGTGGCCACTTTGTATGCATGTTACATTACCGTTAATAAAGACATATACCGACTCCTAAGTACTCGCCTCATCAATCATTCTTTATTAACCATTTTTATTACAGACCCACTAACATCCAACCTAAATGTCCACTTAATTTGGCCATTTTATATTTATAATTAAAAAAAAACGAAAAAAAAAGACAAGTAAATTAGTGACACAAAAAGTTGATGTGAAAATCCAAATGGGGAGAAAACCACGGAGAGAGAGAGAAATCCAAATGTACTGTTACCACAAAACTCCGAAGATAGATATATATATATATATATATATATATATATAGTTATCATTTTAATACAATTATATTATAATATTTTTTTATCATTTTCCGTTAATTTAATATAAAGAATATTTAGATTTTGTTATTTTCAATTTTCAGATACAAAACAAACTAGGATATTAAGGAGATATGTGGTTACTTGAAACAAGAAATTCCAAATTCATTTTAGTTAAGCAAATTACGACGTCCTTAATTTCAACGAAATATAAACATCACACTTCAGTATCCATGTTTTTCATATTTGATACTCGTTTAGATGAACAAAAGAAACCCACATAAACATATATTTCTTTAACCACAAAAAATATATTTAAATAATTAAATCCAACCCTTAATCCAACTCTCAATAAAAACAAATGAACTTGTCTCTATTTTTAACCATAAAATTGTGCACTTGGATGTATGCATATATATATATATATGCGCAATATATATCCTTGTATAATAATTTTAAAAAATGATTAATATTGTATACAATAACATAACACGATATCATTTCTTGGTAATTTACACTAAATCAAAATCACAATCGTGATCGCTCTAAAGTATTAACCAATCGCTATAAATCACAACCAATCGCAAACGCCTGCATTCGTCGCTATTGTGATTGAATCGAGCCGGTCCCACCTTAATTGAACAACTCAAATGATTGTTGAATAAATAACTCGAGTGGTTGTCCGTTAAGAGACTTACCTCGCCTATAAAGGAAATTACATTTCTGATCAAATATCGCCACCCGCATTTGCTTTCGTACATCTTTCACAATATGGCTTCCCTTTGGCTTGGATCACCTCTTATTTACAGAAATACCCTTCCGAACAGCATGCAGAAACAACGTCGTACTCCTCGGCGTTTGGCTTGCCACGTCGTTGCTGAAACAGGTCCGGCGGAGGCTGTCGTTGTTCGTCGGTCGGGAAACTATCGGCCTTCTCTTTGGGACGAGAATTATATCCAATCGCTTGAGAACAAATACGCAGTAAGTACATCTCTGCACATATATATATATATATATATATATATGTGTCGGTCTACTCGTGTATCTACATGACATGTGACAAATACGATAAGATTACACCTGAAAATAGAGTTTAAAAAATATCGTACTATAATCACGTTAAATTCTGAAACTAAATCTCGAAATGGTAGAGAAGCTTGTAGAAAATAACATATTCGGTTGTTTTTAATAATACGATATTTGGAGAACATTTATATAGAATACAAAAAGATTTAGTTTACTAAAAGAAATATCTAATTGATAATATTTCAAATATCAGATTTGGTTTCTATCATATATATTGCATATATATTCCAAATCCCAAACGAAGTGTGTATGGCACGATAAAAAAAGATTGAAAATAAAGACTTATCATATTATGGTGTGACATCTATGTGTGTATGTATAGAGTTTGTGTATGTACTGATCATAATAATAATGGGATGTAGAAGGAAAGCAAAGTCCAAGTGAAAGCCAACTTGCTGAAACAAGAAGTGAAGAAGAGGCTGGATGAAACAGAAGGTCCTCTCCAACAACTAGAGCTCATCGACACTCTGCAAAGGCTCGGACTTTCGTATCATTTTGATAACGAAATTACGACTATTTTAACGAAAATTCACGAGGGAAGAACAAATAACGCTGTAACAAGTCACAAAATTGAAGATTTGAATGCCACCGCTCTCGAATTTCGTCTCCTTAGACAACACGGTTTCTTTGTCTCGCAAGGTAATGAACTGACATATATACTTCCCCACATATCAATATACCATATTACTATTAAAGAAAGTAAATACAAAGTTGTGATACAATATATTTCGGATCAAGAAACTGATAAGTTTGTAACCGATGCAGATGTTTTCGATGATGTCAAGGATGAAAAATCGTATGAAACGTGTTTAAAAGGATCAGACAATGATGCCAAAAGTCTTCTCTCCCTTTATGAAGCTTCGTACCTTTCGACGGAATCAGATTTTAAGCTGAAGGAAATTCGATCTTATGCCAAGAAGAGATTAAGGGACTTTGTCACTAAAAGCAACACAAGCGATCAAACGGAATCATATATTCGTGAGATGATAATCCTATCATTAGAGATGCCATACCACTGGAGGCCAGTCGCTTTAGAAGCTCGATGGTACATAGATGTGTACGGAAAGAGACGAGACATGGATCCGCTTCTGCTAGAATTCGCCAAGCTAGATTTCAACATCGTACAGTCTTTCTACCAAGAAGACCTGAAATCTGCTTTCAGGTACCGTTGTTTTTGGCGTATTTCTTATATATATACACACATATATGAAACCTTGAAATTAATATGTTTGTTTCTCTTTCCTAATTGTATGAAGGTGGTGGAGTAAGACAGGGCTTAAAGAACTTGAGTTTGCGAGAGACAGAATACTTGAGAATTATATTTGGAAAGTGGAATTATTCCATGAGCCTCAACTTGGATACCAACGGCGAGAAGTCACCAAAACTATTGCGTTAACTACAACCATTGACGATATTTACGATGTTTATGGCACTATGGAAGAGCTTGAGCTCTTCACGGAGGCGGTCCGAAGGTATAAACATTCAGACTTTAGTTACAGATTAAATAAAGTATCAACATCTAATCCGTTAACCTGCGCACATTAACAATTTGCAGATGGGACGTGAACCTTGTTGATGAACTTCCAGAATACATGAGGGTGTGTTTCCTCGTGCTGTTCAATGAGGTCAATCAAACGGGACATGATATCCTTCGAGATAAAAAATTCAATGTCATCCCTTATCTTAGGAAAGCTGTAAGCATATATTTACTATATTTTGAACTTTTAACGATGATACGATTCATAGTTTTTGCTTAGATTTGTTAAATTATATATTTCCAGTGGACCGACATAACGAGCGCATACATGGTAGAAGCAAAGTGGCACAAGCGCGGATACAAACCAACTTTCAAAGAGTATATAGAGAACGCGAGGATCTCAATCGGTGCCCCGGTAATATTGATTCATTCTTACTGCGTTTTGGCCGACAAAATCTCAAAGGAAACCATAGAAAGTTTGGTTGAAGATCGTCAACCCGTTGTCAAAGGCTCCGCCATCATCATGCGTGTTGCCAATGATATCGGAACTTCAGCGGTCAGTTTCTAACATTCTCTGATCATTATCTTGATTTTTCTTAATTTACATTTTATCAAAGTTCATGGTCTACAAACTGAATGGAAATCTATGGTCTATCAAGAAATTTAATACTACACGTAGGATTATAACAATCAAGCATATATGCATGGTAGAGCATTTTCCGAGCTACTCCCTAAGCTTTATCGATATCTCCCATGGACGAATTACTTTGTTGTGCTTAAGTTTCACATGTTATGTATGCCATTTTTGCCTATTATTTACACATGAAATGTCGATAGGATGAGTTAGCAAGAGGGGACGTTCAAAAGTCCATGCAATGTCATATGCATGAGACGGGAGCCTCCGATGTGGCGGCACATGATTACATGATGGACGTGATAAGCGATGCATGGGACGAGATGAATCACGAGAGAATGTCACGTGGCTCTTCACTTCATCGTCGTTTCCTTCAGACATCCGTCAACTTGGGACGTATGTCACTGTGTATGTATCAGTACGGTGACGGCCATGGTTTTCCTGAAAATGCTAAGACCGTTGACCGTACCAAATCTTTGATCCTTGACCCCATTCCTCTCGATTAATCATCGTTTATTAACAGCCATAATTGGAGTTTGGCATATGAATGTAAATCTTAATTAAGATGTACCACTCGAGGTGGTGAAAAGGTTTCAACTTTTCAATATGTACCATGATCGAGATATTCGAATAAAGATTAAAGCGGTCTGGTCCGTCGCCATACCGAGACGTGCACGTACGTTTCGTAGTTTTATTTACGTTGACTGCAACTTTTTTTTTCTCTTTTTTGGATAAGCGGAAACAAAAGTTGATAAAAGATCCGTTTGTACCTGGACTTGAAGTGTCAGGGGTTTGAATCCAGGCATGCGGGGAGGGAGAGGCATAGCCAAAGGCTGTGTATTCAAAGGCTGCTCCCGAGCCCAGAGAGATGTAGGTTGGGCCGAAGGTCCAGGTGAACTTCCTGATTTGATAAAAAAAATAAAAAATAAAAAATAAAAGATCCGTTTGGTTGTACCGCATCGGTTACGATCGCGAGTGGAGACGTTTTTCAGAACGTTAGACAGCGGTTATGAACGATTAATACCGACTCATTGATAAGTTGTTGTTGGCGACGCAACCAGTCGCCTCCAAAGATATGTAGATACATATACTTGCTACCGAACAAACAAGCATATATACATACGTATACACACACATATCTAGAATCATATATCACATCCAAAAATAATTCAAAGCACAAGAATTTATTGAATGGAAGGTATGGAATTAGGTTTTATGTCGGTTGCGGACTATCACGATCTTTCTTTAACTGATCGGTTAAACATGGAACTCAATGAAATTGCAAAATTATTCAAAACATATTTAATTAAAATAATTGTATATTGTCTTTCCTACAACAGAATAAATCACATTTTCTCTGCGATATTTGTTGAATATCGATGCCATTACTCACACATGAATACTCAAATCCAATGCATCTGTTGATATGATATACTTTTAACTTCATCTTTTATTTTCATTTATAAATTAATTTGCTTAGACTTAACAAACAGTTTATATCATATATAATTTTTAAAATTTGATATCCAATTAAACCGTTATATATCATAATTGTCCAAATAGACAAAGGCCTTGTATCAGATAATTAATTGGTTTGTTTTATGCTCTAAACGTTACATATGGTATTTACACGTTATGTTTTCGATATGTCTAAAGCACGAGTTAGCACGAGGGGACGTTCTAAAATCGGTGCAATGTCATATGCATGAGACGGGAACTTCCCATACGGAGGCTCGTGAGTATATGATGGGAGTGATCAGCGATTTGTGGGACGAGATGAACCGCGAGAGAATGCAACATAGCTCTTCGCTCGATGATCGTTTCGTCCAGACAGCCTTCGATCTTCCACGAATATCAATGTGTGTATCAGTATGGTGACGGTCATGGTTTTCCCGAAAACGTGAACACGGTCGATCGTATCAAATCTTTGATCTTCGATCCCGTTCCTCATAAAAATGATGGTTGATAATGAGAGTCAAGATGAAGATGATGATATACCGATCAAGTGGTAATATCATTTCGAGTTTTTTTAAGCATAAGAGAGTCATTTTGTTTGTTTTTTTTCTCTCTCATAATCCCACATGTTTCTAAAGATTATTCGCATAACCGCCAATCATTTTATTCTTGCCAAAATATTTGTTGTCATTAAACGCTTTCGCGTAGTTGCCTTTCAATCTCGGATCAGAGTTATTCTCGAGACTTCTTTCTGCACCGCGAATGTCGTCCTCTTTTTGTTATCATCAAACGATTCTTTTGTGCGTGGTGCCAAAGTTGTAGCACACTCGTTTGTTTGATTTTTTTTTAGTTATGTCTTCTATCGACACAAGTTCGCAAGGTGATATGGTTCAAGCGGCATGCGTTTGATCATCTTTTCAGCAAGTTGGGCGTTTCGTGATCTTTCACGCTCCAACTTGAAGGGGATGTTGAAATATACCAGATCTTGAAGAATATTACGAAATATATCAATTTTATCAAATCTAGAAAATATATATTTAGAAATAGTTATTATTTTATTTAGTTTATTTATTCAATGTAAGACTCTCATCTATTTATATATTATTCTGATTATGAATAAAGACATCATTCCGCAAATTTCTACACGTTTTGGAGTAGTCTTAGTATGGATGACTTCCTGGAAAATACTTATTTTCACCCGATATCTTATTTTTTTTTATTACATGAGATATTGCTCGGTATCATCATAAATTCTAAGATTTGCAACGCATTATCGTGTTGTATCAAGTAGGTTCTCATAGTTGCGTTTGTAAATTTACGACATTTTACAGGTTTCTCGGATGGACTTCGGATTCAGAAATTCGTTTTGAATTAAATCTCACATGTATGAACTGTTAAATTTGGCCGAAGCTGAAATCTTTATTCAAGTGATGAAGCAGCAAAGGAATGGAATGGACATTCATTGGACGAGGGAATAGAGATTATAAAACCGAGAGAGTTCGGGTAAATGTCTAAAGAAGCTCCTGCTTCTTCTTAGGGTTCGAAGGTCATCGTTTCCGCTTCTTTCCTCACAGAGTCGAACAACACAGATGACAGGTACCGCTCCCCAAAGCTTGGGAAGACGACCTGCGCAGACATATCCGAAACCACGAATCACTGATATTTCCCCGGAAAAACAAGAAACAAATGCAATAGTCTTAAGACTCTTAACCGGATCGAGTAAAATCCTCTTCTGTTTCAAGGAAGGGCTCAGATTTCCCCTGGCACGGTGCATAAGTTTTGGAAAATGGTTCAAGCCTAATCATGAGTTGGTTTGAAAAACTTCAGCGACCCAAACCTACGATCCAAATGATGAGGGAAGATGAGACTTACGACGAAGAGCTTCCCGGCATTCTCTTGCCTCTTTGCTAACTTGATTGCAGCAACAGCCGCTGCACCAGATGATATCCCGACCTATGTACTCCCCACAAATTTAAAATTCAGTTTCCATTCCAACGTTGGACCATAGCAAGAATACCCAATATTTTGTAAATTGAGTATGCCATATGTGCTAATATATGTGTGACTATCACACATATACCTATTACTTATGGACCAAAACCAATTATAGTGTATGTAATTGCAGATGTCAATAAACCCGCTAAAAATGTAAAACCCGAAATGTCATGCATGTCGTGCGTGTATGTGTATTGTAATCATGAACCTATGACGTAATATATACGAGAAAGAAATGCCAGTATGAATCTCGGGATAGCGGATAAATGGCAGAAGGGGCAAAACTTACAAGCAGACCCTCCTTCAGAGCAAGCTGCTTGGCCATCTCAATAGATTCTTCGCTCGTCACCTGCAAAAAGAGAGACAATATTATCTAGTACTGACAACCACCTACCTGAACTTAAGCTATAGTGTCTAACAAAAGTAAATCCTTCATCAGTGTTTTACCCATTCTAGCCACTTCATTCCCAACAGAAAACACTACACTTGAACAAATTACAAGGTTAAGGTGTAAAGGAAGCATTTATTATGGATATGTATCTCTCTTCAAGTTTATATCTGATGCAGAAAAGTGTGTTCATTTACTAGGACTAGGAGACATAAATTCAATACTTACTGTAACAACTTCATCAAGCAAATTGACATCCAGAACTCCAGGAATGAAACCAGCACCAAGGCCTTGAATCTTATGTGGGCCTTAGACATGAAAAAGTAAATGATCAATTTATGCCCATCATAAACCAGATGGGTGAATAAGTTTTAGACAGTCCAAAAACGAAAATAAAGCTATGAGAAATTAAAACCAGATAACATTAAGGGAACGGTGATAAGAGTTGTATGGCATGGCTTAAAAACATAGGAAAATGGTAAGAGGCATGGCTTACCTGGTTTCCCACCAGATAGAACAGCACTTTCCATTGGCTCAACACCATAGAGCTAACAAATCACAAGATAAGCAAAGAAAAAAGACACGATCAGGAATAACCAGGAGAAATTCAAACCATACAAATAACATAAATGTGTGTGAGAGAGAAGGCACTAAATTGTCTAGGAAGGAATGGAAAGTACCTTTACATCTGGTTTCTGTTCCCTGAGATAACTTCCAGCACCTGTGACTGTACCTCCTGTACCAATTCCAGAGATAAGAGCGTCCACTTTCCCGTCAGTGGCTTTCCATATCTCTGGTCCAGTAGTCTCATAATGGATCTAACAAGATAATTAATATAAGATTTAGAAACCCAAGAACGAAGCTAGAAAAAAGAATAAGGGGAATCATATCTGACATACCTTAGGATTGGCAGGGTTTTCAAATTGCTGAAGGATATAAGAATTTGGAGTTTCTGCCCGTATGTCTTCGGCCTTTTGAACAGCGCCTTTCATGCCCTTTGCTGGGTCGGTGAGAACCAGCTCAGCTCCAAAAGCACGGAGGACCATTCTTCTCTCCAAGCTCATTGTGGCAGGCATGGTAATTATAAGTTTGTATCCCTTCGCGGCTGCCGTGAAAGCGAGCCCTATGCCAGTGTTTCCGCTTGTCGGCTCAATCAGTATGCTCTATAAAAACACAGGGAAAATTTTCGTATTAAGCCTAAATAGCTTCTAAACCATGCTGCTGAAAAAGTGATGCCATGTATTTGCAGAGGCTAAGCAACATCTTGCTTTATCTTATGGTATCAGTAGATATGAGAAGGGATGATTAATGTTTAGCTAGGTTTCAAGATATTAGCTGCAAGAAAAATACTCCAAGTGCGCTAACGGAGTCACAGAAAACATGCAAAATATATAAAAACTAACCTCACCCGGTTTGATGAGTCCCTTCGCCTCTGCATCCGCGATCATGCTATATCCAATCCTGCATACAAGAGATATTCGACATGACGGACATGTTGTTTGGTCAAGCAAAAGTCGGCAATAGCTAACCGAAAAATATAGTCAGAAATCGATAGAAACTCAACACGGTACAAAATCTTCGAAAATCGAAACTATATCCTCATCACGCGTAGCTCCAAGCAGTTATATTGTATGGCACAAAACTATATATTACAAAGATACAGTAAAGTGGAAGGTACCTGTCTTTCACGCTAGAGCAGGGCTCCATCATCTCAAGTTTTGCGGCGACGCGAGCAACACAGCCATCCACCACGTGATTGAGAAAAACCAATGGCGTCCGACCGATCAACTGATTCAACCAGAAACAAAACATTGAGAAAACACTTTAGCAATAAAAAAGGCACAAAATTCATATACAACAAGCTAATAAACCATTCAAACAAAAGGGTAGTCAACGCCACTTACTTCTGTAACATCCTTCGCGATGAAATCTTTCTCTTCAACCATTTTGTTCCCGAAATCGCTTCAATAGCAGCACTTGAGACAATCAGATGAAGGGAAAGAAAACTATCGAACAACAAAAACAGATACGAAAAGCAAATTCCAGGTCCAAAATCGAACAAATAATTATATGATATCTAAGATATTCGAATTCTCACAATCGAACATCTGAGATCGAAGGAGAGGTCAAACTAAACATGCAACAAAAATACATGAACCGAAATCAAATATCCAAAATTTCCTAGAACATCGAAGCTGAAGAAAAATCAAAGCCAAACTTACTAGAACAGTGAGAAAATGGCGATTCGAATTTCCTCAAAACGTAAAAATCAGAGATTCGAAGCTCCTTACCTTGAAGGCTGAGAGAGAGAGACGAAGAAGACGAGTCGCGGATTTCCTTAAAAACTTGCATTGGCGCTTTTTGGTTGTCAAAGACAGAAAATGGACTAAAATGCCCCTCTATGAATTACACGTGGACAGTGATCTTATTTTCAATTTTACGTTACAAGCCCATAATATATTTCAGGAATACATAAATTAAAATGTGTATTTTTTATAATAAAAAAAAATTGAAATTATATATCTCATAATTTTCAATTTTGAACGAATATAAGAAATCTGAACTTCTTTCTAGGTATATTATCAGTATATTATAGGAAAATTATTTTGTTAATTTTTATTATATTGGTTTGACCCTCCATTGTTTTGTATACCCTTCTTCTGTTCTCGCAAATAATTATGTCTTTCACTTTAATTTCTATAATGCAAAACCCATTCTAATGCTTTGTCCACGTAGTTCTCCAATGAATTTAATTATTTATTTAAATGTTTTTAGAAGACTATGTAAAACTAATATTTAAAAAAATGAAAGCTAAATATTTTTTGGAATAATAGAATTTTAGATAATAAATAGGGATGGACACTTTGGTTCGGAAATTTAGTTCCGATTTAAAATCAAACCGGATCGAATCGAACCGAATAACATTCGATCCTAATTTGATACATTTTTTATAGAACCGAATGAACCGTTCTCGAATTGAACCGTATGAATATCGAATCAAAATTCGAATTTTCCACTAATATATATGTAAATATTATAGTTTGGTATTTATTTGGTATTCATATAATTATACCATTCCGAACCGAACCGTTTAACATTTTGTTATAGTTTGGTACATTTTTTATAAAACCGAAAATACCGTTCCCGAATCGAACCATTTTGAATACCGAATCGAAACCCGAAACGTCTATGCTTGAAAATAAGTTGTGTAATTTGAAAAATCAGTTTGATGATTGTAGAGGATTTAGGTTTTAATTTAAGATCTAGTTTTGAGGTTAATTTCTTCATTTATTAATTCAAAAAAGTATATATTTCATTATTTCACTTTTTTATAACTTTGATGTTCACATGTGCTTTGATGTGGGAAACGAGATTATTTTAAAACAATTGTGTATTTTTGTGCTTTGATCTAAACAACCTAACAATAATGATCATATTTCAAAACGATAATTATCTTGAACGATGTGACGTGCCATCTGATTATGGTCAGAAGAAATAAATTAGAGGTATTATATCAATTATTTAAATAAAAGAAAAAATATTTTTTCGAATAGAGATAACTTTTATTTTAGGTTTTTTATTTTAATTTTTGAATTTTGGTTTTTAGTTTTTAGTTTTTGTTTTTTGGATTCTTTAATATAATTTTTTATTATTTTTTTCACAAAATGATTTTTTAAATTTTTTAAAAAATAATTTTGTAAAAATTTGAATGATAGTTTTTTATTTTTGGATTTAAAATACTCCGACAACTCGGACCATTCAATACCAATATATATACAAAATAAAATGCAGAATGTTGAAAATTAAAAAATTGCTTTTCAGTAAAAGGAAATCAATTCCAAATTGACTGATTACAATTTCTAATGTTTTATGGATAATTGAAAATTGGTAAAATCGTTAAATGATATTTAGACATTTTTAAAAATTGAATTAATTCGAAAATTACAGCCATTATATATCAATAAATACAGATAATTTTCACTACCTTATTTTATTTTATTTTTTATCGTGAGAAGATTTTTTAGTCGTCTATTTTTGTTTTCGCACTAAGGCAAATGAATTAATCATTTTGAAATAGAGAATGAAAGAAGTTTTAATTATTTAAATGATATAAATATTATATCCTTAAGAATGAACTAGCACATGGCAGTTTGAATAACTAGATAAAAATAATATTTATTTATTTTGTATAAATGCAAGCTGTCTTTTGTGGAATCGAATTTGTTTATTCATTCTAAATTTGATTTTACTAATGATAGGATTCGTCAACTATCGATTACTCATTCTATTTCTATTATTTTATTACATTTGACAATACATTACGGTCCAAAAAACTATCATCATAGAACCCATACCAAGTGAATGGATTGTCGCAACGTATGTAATTGTTTAATGTAATCCACATTTTCTATGCGATAATTGTAAAAAAAAAATGTATAATATGCGATTTACTGTTTTATAATCATTTTTCATAAAAAAAATATATAAATATCTTATATCACCTTAATTAAAAAAAAAAAACCTCCAATGTGGTACTTAAAAGGTCAAAATGTTTTTTGACCGAAATGCCCTTGTTTTATATCAAAATACCCCTTGTTAATCTGTCCTGGAACAAGATCCAAATCTTACAACATTGCATTATTATCCTTTTGTAGGATTATATATATATATATATATATATATGTATATTAGATATACAAAAATTTATGATTCGATCATTCATAATACCATGAGAAAAGCAGTTCAAAGAACGAACTTCTTATAGTCACTTGTCCAATTTAATGATCATGTCATTGTAACTAAGTTTCTCCATAACACAGGAAGAAGTGCTCATAGTCATGGCCAGGGCCCAGGCCTCCACACGGATATTCGATTGGTTCCAATTCTAAATTTTTCTAGGCGTCATCGGTGGACGAATATCCGAACGACGAACACTTTGAAGGTATTCCAAATGTTAGGATATTATACGGGTGGACGTTTCACTATTCGGTTCGGCAATAATTTGGTCCGGTTCTTTTGGTTTTGTAAAAGTATATACTAATCGGTTATTATATCATATTTGATTCGGTTCGGTTCTGGTTCTTATTAAGAAAATTTTAGATTTTTTTTTTTAAAAAAATGGTGTTCTGTTTAATTTCGAAAATTTTGGTTTTGTAAAAAAATTGCTATTTGGGATTTTACACGGTCCGGCTCGGGAATGGTACCTCGTTTTTCGGTTAAGTACGGTTTGGTTTCTTTAGTTTATATTAGATTCTATTAGAATCTGAATCTGAATATTATGAAATCAAATCATATCCAGTGGATTGACAAGAACATTGAATTACATACCCATTTTCACCACATTCAGATTCTTTTGCAGGCATCAGACACCAGTAGTATGTTGTTGTTTTGGATCGGTTTGAATGGTTTAAAATTGCTTAGTAATTCCTAAAGATAAATTGATTTTGGGTCCGAGTTCTCATTTGTGCAAGTCGAAACATATTTCATAAAACCATATACTATAACGTCACATATAAAAAACCATATAATATGGAACAAAAACAATTTTCTGAATATGATTCGACGTTTAATGAAAAATTATGTGTAACCAAAGGGTATGTTCCAAAATCGGGGACAAAAGACAGAATCTTGAAAGGAACCTACAAAGCAAGCGACCACCTCCGAAGAAACCAAAGTCATCACAGCCTTCTTCCGGACACGAGCATTCTCATTTCTTCTTCCCGGCATCACCAGCCTTTGTCTGCACGTAAAAAAGGCGGGGAAAAGATAGGCATCGCCGTCGTTATGATGATTAATGGAAGGAGACGAATAAATTATGGGCAGGCGAGTTTATGAACGGTTGGATTTGGAACAGTAAGATTTTTGTGGGTTTACCTTCTTGACACCGCGGATTTTCTTGGTTCTGTTCTTCCTCTCCTTCATCTGTTTCCTCGACTTCTCTACCTTGGTGTCAAGTCCGTTCTACAAACGCCGGTAAAGTAAATTGTTATGTCCTAAGTTCCATATTGTAATAGTCAACGAGCCTAGATGTCCGTTAAGGCAAAATCCTAGAATGAAACCCAAAGGGTCGTTCGTGAAGGATATTTCATAACCAGAGAGTCAACATGGAAGTCTATCTCAACGGCTGGAGAATCCTAGAGTGAAACCAAAAGAGTCCTGAAGAATATTTTGCAATCTTTCTATCTTGGTACAATCCAATAAGCTACTTATTGGTCCTATCGGCTATCAGAACTTAGGAGATTAACTTGAATTACTCGTCAAACTATACTTGGAAAACAAAACTTATGTAATCGATTAGTTTCTCAATAAAAACAACACAAAGATAATGAAGGTGCGACAGTGAATCCTTACCCTAATGAGTCTGTACTTAGGCTCGTACTTCTTAGCATTCTCAACAGAGTCGTAGACCAAACCAAATCCCGTAGATTTTCCACCACCAAAGTGGGTGCGAAACTTGAAAACGAAGATCGAATTCGGGTCCTTCACTTCGTACATTCTAGCTAATTTCTCCTTTAATTCAGCCTTCAAAACCAAAAACACGAACAAAAAAATCAACACCCAAAAAGAAGTTGATAGGATCACACACTTGAATGACAACTATATTGCTTAATGCACAGATTTTTGACAAGCATATGGAAATCCTTTCCACGTTTCTGTGGAATCCCAGAAGAGATTGACATAGGGAAAACAAGCATAACAGGGTTTCAAAACTCACCTTTGAAACATTGGCTCGTCCTGGATGCAAGACATCAATAACCTGCAAATCATAAGACCGAACCAAAATCTTTCTCAGGTTTCTGTAACCTTATGAGCTCAAAATCAGTCCAACTCCTTAGTACACCGGAATTCATATCAGCACTGATACGATTGTAGACCCTAATCCTCAATCGGAATATTCACTGTCTTCTAGACCGTGATTGTAAATATCCTTACGTATCCACATAACTAGAAAATAATCAAATCGGATAAAAATAACGATCAGGAAGAGAGTTCGATGCAGTTCCATTACTCGATCTTCTACAAAATCAATCTCCCACCATACTTCTCACGATCAAACCCTAGTTTCGAACCGAGAGAACACGAGAAAAAAACTCACGAATTGCTTCCGGGAGAGAAGCCTGTTGGTCATGAACTTCCTTGTCCTGATAGTTACCGCCTTGTCCGCCATTGTTGCGCTCGAGGGATGGTTTTGCTATCTAACGCCCAAATTTGAGATCGAAGAACCGACAGGCTCCAATGCAGCTGCTGCTCCACAAGAGAAAACCCAGGTCCCATACAAAAACCGTTAGGTTTTATTGCATCAGAAATTAGGGTTTCCATGTATATCTTGGGCCGGGCTTTAATTGGGCCCACATGGCTCAAATTGAAATCTTGGATGTATTGTCGAAGATCTCTTTGTTTTCTACAAAATTGATGAGCTTAGACATTTACAAAGATTTTTATTATAAGGCGCAGGTTGGCCATTTCGGGTTTAGGCCCGAGTTCGATTCGGTTATATTCAAGTTTGGTTATTTTTTTGGTTAGATTCAGTTCAGTTTTGGTAAAAAAATTAATTTTTTCAAAGAAATTGTCGGATTTTTTGGTTATTTTTTTATTCGGTTCAGTTCGGTTTGATTTCAATTTTTTCAGGTTTAAAAAAATTATAACCGTTCGGTTTTGTTGTCAGATTGGTTCGGATACAGTTACGTCTTATTTGGTTTGGTTGAGTTCGATTATTCGATTAATAACCGAAATATCCACCCCTAGGTGCAACCGTTTTTTAATGTGAGATTATTTTCGTTTTTTAATATACCATATTTTATATTAGGATTGACCAAATACAATTTTTAAATGATACCAGACAATTTTTAAACCAAATACAATTTCTTAATGCAAAATAAATTATTCTGTATTTTTAAATGATACCAGACTATTTTATACCTCTCTCACTTCGATTAATCTTCGTTTTGTTATTTAATTTTTGTGTTCAATAGAATTATTTTAAATATTAAACGATAAATAACTAAAAGAAAAAAAATTAGTTCCAAAACGCTATAACCACCGAAATTAATAAATTTTAAGAAAATCGAGGTGGGGTCCTTGTCTCTTTCAGCTTTCTAGTTCTTGAACAGATAAAAACAAAAATCTATTAGTTTGGATCTCAAACCAAACATTCTTTTCCGACGGAAATAACATATTTTCTGATGGGGATTTTTCAGATAAAATAATACAATGCCATTTCCGATTTCATCGTTATGGTCGCCGAGTTTTTTACAAAATACTTTTTACACCTCATAAAAAAAATAAATTGGATGTTTTAGATTTTAATTGGGTTTTAAAAAAAATAGTTTGATTTGAATCCGTTTAGATTTTGATTTTGATTTTTTTCCACTGAAAAAAAAAATATGTTTTAACAAAAAAAATATTTGAATATTATTTTTTTAAATTATTTTTTAATTGAAAAAATTCAAAAAATATCTAATTTCAAAATCATCCATTTATACCTCTAACTATCAATAAATCCAATAAAATTTCAATGTTTAAATAAACATTGGAAAAACTCTTATCTTCTGGAAGAAACATCTATTTAAAAACCAAATCATTACAAAATCCAAATAAAAATAAAATTTATAAAGACATATTATAACGTTTATTAACTCAATATCCTAAATATTTTATATTAAAAATAAATAATAATATGATGAATATATATAAATATATATGTAAATGTATTATAGCTATTAAATTAATAAAATTATAGTTCAAAATTTTAAATTATTATTTTTTAAACATATTTATAATATACTGTGTACATATCCATTAATTTTATATTTCTAAAAATATAAAAACATATTATATTTATTATTTTATCATTTCAATCATAATTTACAAATATATTTACAGTATTAAATTATTATTATTATTATTATTATTATTATTTTGTACTGCATTGAAATCATATTAACTAATAAAATTTATAGTTTTAAGATACTTTTGTATAGAAATTTTAAATGATAGATTTTAATGGATATTTTTTGTAGAAGTCAAGAATATTGAATATTTTTTTGGTATTTTAATTGTTGAGATTTTAATTGATATATTTGTAAAATTGAGGGGTTTGTTTGAGAATTTCCTTTTAAAAGTTAACTATAATCCAAAATTTTAGTTTAACGTTCAAATGTTTTTAAATTCAATAAAAATCAATTGTTTCTAAATTCAATTAGATATATTTCTATTTGAATACAATTAATAATTATGTTGGATCAATTTGTGGAACCGAAACAAAATATCAACCTGATAAAAACTATAGAGTGAAAGTTTTATTTATGGTACGCATGCATATTTGAAAGTTTCTGGATTTGGTCGGTTTGGTTTACCAAAACCTGGTTTGACCTAAACCGGAGAGACATTCCATGTTGCATCTCTCTCTCAGGTGTCTTATGAAGGCAAAAAAAAGGTTCCTCTGGTCCGTTTTTTTATTACTTTTTTCTTGAATAAAATGTTAGTTTTATTAACTAAAATTTAGATTTAAATAGAAAATTAAACAATATAAAATTAAATCAGACTTAGATAATAACAATCTTTCCCTGGTAATAAGATTTCTTACTTAAATATAATTTATATTTCAGATTATATATCAACCATTTATGGAAATGACTTCACACGACAACTACGTTATATTTTCCACTTAAGATATGCAGATTTATTACTGATCATTGGGAAAAAAGAGAACTCATCACCAGTCCAAATTACCATACATGAAAAAAAACCCGATATTTAATATTTAATTATTTTCACCACCTTTTCTTTATGCACAAATTATTCTTATAAATGAATAAATAAATAAAGAGAGAAAAAAAAAAGTTTCTGGGTTTCGTCTGATGGCTAAGTAACATCTTCTTCTGGCATTTTGCTTGAAGGTCCATTCCATGAGAAGCCACGTAAGCTGCAACATACAAATACCAATCTCCTTCTCTGCTCCTCCTAAATCTGACCAGTCCTCTCTTCTTTATATTGCTTACGTTCACAAGATACAACAACATAAAAAAAAAAAGGAAAATTTTTAATTTTTTTCTCCGTTCACATTCGATTGCTGCAAAACCTATCTGGGTTCACACACCATTTTCATTCATTTCTTCTCTCTGTTTTTTCCCTTGTATTTTTGAGCGTTTTCTTTTCCCTCTCTGGGCTCCATAAAAGTATTAGTTTTTTTTTTCCGTTGGGGGTTCGTATCAAAATCCGTGCTTCCCCATCTGTTTTATAAAATCAAAATCGTGTTTTTTTCATCTGGGTCTCGGCAGAAACCCCGATTTTATCAGAGATCCGTCGTTCTCGAGGTGAAATCTCGAGCCTTTGTTCCCCTTTTGGCCCAAGTGATGCTCTGCAGAAATGGCGAATCTAGTGCCTGGAGTGTTACTGAAGCTCCTTCAGCACATTAACACCGACGTTAAAGTCGCCGGAGAACATCGGTCGTCTCTGTTACAGGTTGTGAGTATAGTGCCGGCTTTAGCCGGCGGTGAGCTATTTCCGAATCAAGGGTTCTACCTCAAAGTCTCAGATTCGTCTCATGCCACATACGTGTCTTTGCCTGATGAACATGATGATTTGATTCTGAGTGATAAGATCCAATTAGGTCAGTTTATTCATGTTGATAGGCTTGAATCTGCCTCTCCTGTTCCGCTTGTTCGCGGTGTAAGGCCTGTTCCTGGTCGACATCCCTGCGTTGGTTGTCCTAAAGATATTGCAGCTACTCATTCACCAGGGTTTCTTCGTAATAACAATGTGAGTGATAATGATGGTAGTAGTGGCAATGGATATAAAGAGAAATCTAAGACATCTGCTAAAGGAATTATTGGGAATGGGAGTGTATATGAGAAGGAGAAATCAGTGGGGAGTAGGCTGAGTCTTAGTTCTAAAGATGAACACTTTAATAGTAAAAAGCCCATGGCTACGGGTTTAGCTCGAGCAAAGTCCCAGCCGGGGAGACTGAGTTTGGATGTGAAGAAGGAAACAATGGGGAAACCGAAGATTTCACGTTCAAATTCGATTCCTTCTTCGCCTAGAAGTTGTTATTCATTGCCTACATCGTTTGAGAAGTTTGGAAATGGGATTAAACAGCAGCAGGAGATGAAGACTAAGGTATTGGAGAGGGGTTCGCCTAGAGCAGCATTGTCAGAGAAAGGGAGGTCTTCTCTCAAGGCTGAAAGTCCGAGTTTCGGGAGAAAGCTCCCAATGATTAAGAATTTTGTGCACGGGATCGAGTATGGGGCCAAGGTGCTAAGGAAGAGTTGGGAGGGTAGTATAGAATTGAAGAGTCGGGATAGCCCAAAACTGAAGGCCGGAAAACATGATTCAACCCCTGATTCCGGGGGTTTATCAGTAAGCGTTTTTTCCAGTCTTGACCTTTTCATTCCAAATAGTATAGGTTTTTACACCTGTGAAGTTGCAGTTGCAGAATTTTGCTTAGCCACAATATCAGTTCTTGGTTTAGTAGCTGAAAATCATGGTCAAACAGGTTTTACTCATTCTTGGCGTAGAATCTATCTTGGTTTGATCTTCATCTTGCTTATCCATATAGGTTACTTCCAAAATCTTGTTTTTATTCATCAGGGTTTGGGGAAAAAAGATTGTTGCTTTTTTCTTATTTTTTTCATCCGGGTCTTGACAAAGTCTTTTCCTTGGAGATCTGACATTTTCTTGGCGAAAACTTGAGTTCTTCCTTTGTGGGTTCGTTTCTTGACAGTTGCCAACGTATTCATCTCTTTCTTTTCTGACATGTCTCGAAGGTAACATGGCAATCGTATAAATTTTTTTTACCAGGCTTCCAGGAGGAAAAGCACATCGAGTGAGAAGCTGCCAACCAAAGAGGAGAGGGCAGATATATTCTCAAGATCGTCGAAGGAGGGAAATAAGATCCAGCCAACTAAGAAAGTCAGTGCAAATGGAACATTGGACGACAATGATAAGACGAGTAGGCCAAAAACGACATCCCTTGGGAAACAATCAACTGCAGGGCAAACGAATAACGGGTTGCCTGCGAATTTGGTCAGAGTCCCTGTAAACGGTAAAAGATTAGCTGATGCAATGATCCAATGGAGTTCACTCCCCTCTTCTCTTTCGAAGCTAGGAAAGGTACTACCTTTACCATTCATGGTTCCTTTTATGTTAAAATGTAGATATACCAATTATGTGAGCAAGAAATTGAAGATAAGAGGAAAGGACGTAAATCGAACTTTCTTTTTTCTTTTGGACAGTCATTCTACTGGAGGTATAGTATACACTCTCAGTTCAAGCATCTAAGTGTTACTGTTTTAGTCTTTTGGTATCGGTATCAAATTATATGCTTTGCTTCTCAGTTCATGACTGATTTCATTGCTCATTTCTTCTTCCCCGGTAGGAAATCTTGAGGCATAGAGATGCGGCTCAAGTGGCTGCCATCGAGGCTATGCAGGAAGCTGCAGCTTCTGAGAGCTTGCTTCAATGCCTCAGGTACTTAAATCTCTTACAAAAATTGTCTTCCCCTCTTGTTTATCAGTTGTGATATCATATCCCACATGGAAATACTTTATACGACAAGTGCAGCTTCGGTCCAAATCGAACAATTCTTTAAGATATCCCTAAAGTTTCTAAATTCGAGTTTACCGATTTGCATTTTGTTATTCTAACATTTTCTGTGTTTCCTTCTGTAGTATGTACTCAGATCTCATGTCAACCGCTAAGGAAGACGATCCACAGCCAGTGGTTGAGCAGTTCTTGAAGCTCCATTGCAGCTTGAAGAACATTCAAACGATAACCGACTCGTTATCGAAAACAATTTCTCCAGCATCATCCCCGGAAAACAAAGAATGTAAATCAGAGGAAGCCATGAAAGTTTCTTCCGAAAGACGGAAGCTTGCAGCCTCATGGGTCCAGGCCGCCTTAGCCACCAACTTATCATCCTTCTCTGTCTACACCAGCAGCAACCCGGCCAAACCTGTCGCCTCGGGTAACAAGCCCGTCTTATTCCTCGAGAACCCGGGCAATAATTCTACAAGTAAAACCCGAGGGAGCGTCCGAACCCGACCAGTGGTTGGTTCCAAGCTCATGGCACAAGGCATCATCCGCAAACCAGGTGACAATGCAAGCCAAAAGACTGCAACCTTGGTGGTTCCGCCTCTCGAATGGGCGAAAGGGAACGGTCTCGACGAGGCGATTGATCTCGTCGAGAAGTTGCAGGTGGTTTCGCAAGATTGGTTCTTGGGTTTCGTGGAAAGGTTCTTGGATGCTGACGTGGATGCATCGTCAAGTTTGTCGGATAACGGGCAGATAGCCGGGATGCTGAGTCAGCTCAAGAGCGTGAATGATTGGTTGGATGAGATTGGATCGTCACCCGGGAAAGAGGAGGGAGGAGATTCGTCAGAAGTGCCAGAGGAAACGATCGAACGGCTAAGGAAGAAGATCTATGAGTATCTTCTATCTCATGTGGAATCAGCTGCTGCAGCTCTTGGTGGTGGCTCGGTTTCTTCTCCAAGACCCAAACCGGTTGAAACAAAAGCAAAAAGATAACCGGTTTGGTTTGGTGTTGGTTTTGTTTTCGGTACAATAATCTTAAAATAGGGAGGCTCCATGGCCATCAATAGCCTCGAGGAGTACTAGGTTATAACTTAAAGCAATGTGAGAGTGGTTTGGTTGTATATATGAATTTGGCGGTGAAATTTTCCGGTATAGATGCGGTTATTTATCATCGGTATGAAGTGTACCGATTCAATATTTTGAGTCTGTTCATGGTATTTATAAAGCCGGTTATCGGTAAGAAGACGTTTTGGATATGGAAAATTTCAATGTTTTAGGCCGGTTTGGGGGTCAATGTTTTTTTTATAAACAGATTACTTTTACTTTGTTTTTATATTTGCTCCGACTTCTTAGACTTTTTTTTTTGTTAGAGTTCAATCTTATTTGATTAATACCATTTTAAAAAAAATGAACCGAACAAAATTAAAATATTTTTTAAATTAGATTGGATTCATCTGGAATTCGATTGTTGTTGTATGTGCATAGTGAAACCGGAATCATATACCGGTTTCTATATGTCAACCGGACCGTTTGAAAGGTTTGAATTCAATTTTAAAAATCTTATCGTATAAAATTAAAATATATTTAAAATTAGATTGGACTCACTCAGAATCCTATGCTATTTGTTGTATGTGCATAGTGAAACCGGAATCATATACCGGTGTTTATACCAGACTGGGTTCAACCGGTCCGGTTCAATAGGATGAAGACGATTAGGATTATCGATATACGAAAATCTACATTATCTTTCTCCGTCCACTAGAAAATTCTCCCTCCAAAAATTGTCGTCGGGGTTTCTCTGTCATCTTGTGTGGTGTTGTTCTTCGCTTCCTCACCACGAAAACCCTAGAAAAATATCACCAGAATCTGAATCTGCTTCCTCAAATCCGCCATGGCAGCAGCTTCAACCTTGCTGGAGTTCAATCCGCTCAAATGGAATCAGCCCTACTCACATATGAAACCGCGTCGCAATCCCAGTTTTCTTCTCTGCTTCAAACAACAAAGCAGATCCAATTCGGCTCATCGTCGCCTCCAATTCACCGTCAAATGCCAGCAATCGACGTTTTCCGGGTTGGAAGTAGGTTCCGATTCAACTGGTGTTCCGAAATGGAAGAATTCGTTTGATGAAATCGCGGATCGAATCATGAAAGCATTAGGGTCTCTTAAGAAACCCGCCATAGCCGCGGTTTTGCTGGGTTTGCTTCTGTTCTACGATCCGAATTCAGCGTTTGCGGCTTCCGGTGGTCGGATGGGAGGAAACGCGTTCTCTTCGCGGTCGCGGAGCTCGTCCTACGCATCTAGAAGTTATTCGGTGCCGCGAACGTCCGGTCCGAGTTTCTCTTACTCGGCTCCGTACTACGGTCCGTCGCCGTTCGGCGGAGGATTCTATGTGGGTCCTGCGGTCGGTGGGTTCTCAAGCTTGTCTCTCATTCTGGTGGGGTTTGCTGCGTTTGTTTTGGTCTCTGGTTTCCTGTCAGACCGGTCAGAGGATGGTGTTCTTACTGCTACGGAGAAAACTAGTGTCATCAAGCTACAGGTTAATCTTACTTTCCCTGAAATATATATATATATATATGAATCTCTGAATCAATTTCCACTGGTTCCTCCAAGTTTTTGTTGTAAATGCTAACTCAATTATTTTGATATAATGGTTACACGGTGATGAAGAAGATGAGTATAGGTGGAATTCGGGTGAAATACCAAATGGGTATTGCATGGTGTGCGTGCTTGATGTTGATCTCGGGGAGTTGTTTTGTATTTGAGAGCAAATGAGGTGGCTTAGTTTTAGCTGTTAGGTACACTGGATCAATGGTGCTCATAAGAACTTTCTGTCGTAGTGGCTTTTTTATTTTTGAGTTTTCAAGTTCAAAGCAAAAGGGTATCAACAGGGTTAATGAGTTCCAAGTTTTAGAGGAGATGGAGATTGCTGTGTAGATTGAGAATGTGATTGCAACTGTAGTTTGCAGTGCTCAAATCTTGTTATAACTCAAAGATGCATGAACAGTTCATCTAGCCAGTGATGTTCTGTTTACTCATTACTTTATAGGTTCTATGGAAACCTGTCTTATCTGTATGCTGGTAATTTGTTGGGTGGCTAACCTTTTGGTTGCCACCTTGAAATTGAATTCTGAATTTCCTTCTTCTGCTTCTGTTAGATTCATTTCTTTTTTTATCTGTATCCTCTTAGGCGGGATTGCTGGGCCTCGGGAGAACCCTGCAACAGGATCTTAATAGGCTTGCCGAAGTTGCAGATACGTCCACATCAGAGGGACTGAGCTACGTTTTGACCGGTAACCTATTTCCCCGAGTCTATATCTAATCTGCTTCACCTTAAATATCACTGAAGGACATGAAGGTGTTGTATGTACTGGCAGCACCATTTTGTTTCTTGTGCTCCCTTGGATTGTGATCTTGAATTATAAGGTCTGGAAACATGGTGGGTAGGAGCATAAATTCGTAATAGCTCCTTAAGCTTACAGATCCTTTTACTAGGGTAGGCATGCATAAAATTTTGGTGCTGCTTCATATCAATGGTGAAAAAGCTGTTAAACTGATTTTCCTGGTGGATGATCTTTCAAACAATTGGTGGACACTGGACACTGGACAGTGTGAAATCATTTCTTACATGTCTAAACATTTATTTTGAGGTTCAGTATTGTGTTCGCTTGTCAGAGAGTTTTGTCGCCAGAATTTTTCTTCCTTAGCCTTTCGATCTGGTTCCATTGTTGCTTCTCTTTTTCACGTATTAGTTTATGGTTGTAATATTTGACTGCTACATGTTTTGTGTCTTGCAGAGACAACATTGGCTTTGCTCCGGCATCCCGATTATTGCATCTCTGCTTATTCATCAGTGCGTTCAATGGATTCTCTCATAAACATGTTTTGTGTCTTTGCCTTATTGCACTGAATCCAAATGGATTTTGTTACATGAACCTAATCTCCATTTTGTCCAATGTATTGTTAAGGTGGATGTGAAACGGAGTGCAGAAGAGGGAGAAAAGCGCTTTAATCAACTATCTATTGAAGAAAGGGGAAAGTTCGACGAGGAGACACTTGTTAACGTGAACAGCATAAAAAGGCAAAGCTCAACAATGCAGAGAGCTAGTGGCTTCAGCAATGAATACATTGTGGTACGTGCAGTCACGTCTCCAATTTTACAATAGCTCCCAGTAGAGCATTGAATGACTAGAGTTAGAAATGACAACTGGTATCTGAAGGATGACACCCAAATGAAAACGTGAAGGGAAAGTGAAGAGAAAACTACACAAACCGACTTTGAGCTTTTTGGATACATCAAAGACACAGAACCAACAATTTAAACTTGGGCTTTTTAAAAAATGCTTAAACAGAAATAGCCTTAGTTGGCGGTTTAATGAGATGGGTTGAGGTCGCATATTTAGGTTAGGTAGCAAAAAAGAAGCAGAATGATGACACAAGCTGCATGGGGTTTAATGGTGAGGGCAACTAAAGTTTCGATTAGGTTTGTGTTGTGTAAGAAATTATAATTGTTAAAGAAATGATTATTAAGGTTAGAATCAGATTTATGGGGTCTAGATTTTGTTTTCCGGCTGTGAGGTGACAAGAGTATCTTGCGTTTGTTTGCTCGTTCTCTTTTACGTTCATGAGGCAGTGCTTCTTATCTTCAGGTGACCATCTTGGTGGCTGCGGAGGGCGTACATAAATTACCGTCAATCAACGGAAGCGTAGACCTCAAGGAAGCCCTACAGAAACTCGGTTCGATACCACGAAACAAAATAATGGTAAGATATCTGAATCGTGCTCTTTCATCCTGAAGGCAGTTTAATTCTATACTGTATATAATCGGACTAGTTTTAAAATTGCAGTGTTTCTGAATCGAGTAAGTGAAGCAGATAGTCGATCCATATTCTGAGCTAGGGTGCATTCCAATACGTTATTTTACGAAGTCAGTGCATAAGGCGAGACATTAGACCGTCCGATTGTTTGTTTGTTAGGAAGAATACTAAGATTCAAAGAGTTTCAAGGTTTTGGTGCATTAGGACTGGGTTTTTGTTAGGTAATTGATGTTTAAATGATTCATTGTAGTTTGATTTGTCCATGGCTGCTCTGTTTTAGACAATGCAACTATTTGAACTCACATATATATGTGTGTATATATATGTATGTGTATGTATATAACGGGTTCGAATGAAAATGCAGGCGGTGGAGGTGCTGTGGACGCCGCAGAACGAGAACGATGCATTGTCGGAAAGGGAATTGCTGGAAGATTATCCGCTGTTGAGGCCTCTGTGATGAGAGAGTGCATGCAATGGTAATGGTAATGGTAATGGAAATCAAAGCATTTCCACGTTCCATGTCATATTGTTCATAGAGGTAGAAAACGATCGAACTCATCTACTCGCTCTTCTTTTGTATATATGGTGAACCATGTTTTATATACATCACAATTACAAAAAAAAAGGAATAAAAACCTGATAAAATTTGTAATGGTTAGCGTATAGGGGGATATTTCAGGTTTGGGATCCATTATTTCTCATTTTATGATTTTAGAACAATTATGTCTGATCTGTTTTTATTATTATTTTTATTATAGGTTTGATTTAGAACAATTATACTCCCTCCGTTTCAAAATATTTTTAGGTTATTTTTCATGTTCAAAATATTTATCATTCTACATTTTCAAGATATTTTTTACGATAATTTCCAATTTTATCTCTATCAAATTCTAATAAACTATTAATGATAACAGTGTTTTTATCATGTGATTTTTTTTCCTCTTTTCTTAAAAAATGTGAAGTAACCTAAAACAACAATTATTCTAAAACGGAGGGGTATCTTCTAATTTTATTCGGATTCTATTCTAATTATGTTTTGTTAAAAACATATTTATTTTCTATATCACTTGGCAATATTTCGAAATGTGAAATGCCATTCTGCATTTCCGGGAACATCCTACATTTGATCGAACTCCCAAATAATACTAGTTAGAGATTATTAAGGAATGATATCTCGGTAACATTCCTTTTTTTTTTATCTCAAATTTATTAATTATTCATATTAGATTTTGAAATAAATATATTCTAAAGTTTATCATTATTTACTTTTTCTGAATTTAATTCAAGTTTCATTAATTTGATTTTAATAAAATCGTATTTAATCAGTTTTTTTAAAATTCGATTTTGATTCGGATATAATTATAGATTAGTCGATTTAATTTAGTTTTATATATCCAAATTATTTACAACACAAACTTAGATTTCCATAGGACAGAAAAGCTCTTCGTCTTACCAATATAAAAAATTAAAAGTACTTGGGTGATGTAAATACTAAATACTGTGTAAAGCCGCATGCTTTAAAGTTTAAAGCATCCAAAAAACATAGGTACGTACGATCCTGTACATGAACCGTTGAGCCAAAAGAGAGAAAGATCGAGTTCATTTCAAAAAAAAAAAAGGAAAGGGAGAACAAGAAGCAACGAATCATCTATCGAATCGATCTCCGATGAGTCTCAGAATGATCGAAGCGGTATTCACGAGCGAAACTCTTATCGGATTCATCTCCGACACAAAATCATTTGAATCCGTCACCGATGAGTATTTCCAGATCCTGGATCTAGACAGAGACGGAATCATCTCGTCGTCTGAGCTCCGGCGAGGTCTGAATCGGATCGTGTCGGTGGAGTCAGAGGTCGCACCGGAGGAAGAGACCGCCGACGTTTACAAGGCGATTCTCGAGAGATTTGGCGAAGAAATTGGTCGAGATCAATTTAGGGATCTGGTTTCAGAGATTTTGAAAGCCATGGCTCGAGCTTTCGGGAAATCGCCGGTAATTATGGTGGTTCATTGCGACGGCTTGATCATGAAAGCTGTTCGTCACGAATCGAAACAAGGTCAGTAATCCATTCGAATCACATATTAGTCATATCGATAATCTGTCAGACAAACAACGATTTATTAATTTTTGTCGATTTCATAAAACTTTTAATCATGTTGTCAACTCGTCGATTTTTTTTTTCGTTTTCGGAAAACAAGTTTCGTTGTCATAGGTTGATCATGAACACTGTTCATCACGAAACGAACACAAGGCATGTGATTGATTTTGGTAACTCATTTTTCCTCTGTTAACTTTTGTCGATTTGAGAAGGGAGCTGGTGAGAGAGAATGATTTTTCTCGGGAAAACGAGGGAAAATTCTTCTTGTAATATTGCTCTAAAAGATGGTGAGTTGTTCTTGGCGAAATCCACTCAGGAAATCATAAATAACGTTGGAGATTGCGAAGAAGATGTGTTTGCTCGGCAAATCAAATGTGAGACTAATTAATACTTTCATAATCTTGCCGATAAATAATACCAGCCGATTATATCACCATCAATTGATCTATCAATAATTTACCACGATTAACTAATGTAAGGCTAACTAATACTTTCATTCTCTTACCATAATACGTACGATGATAAAAATATCATTGTCATATATCATATTATTAATGAATTGATTTATTGTATTATTTAAAAGACAATGGTATGATAATTATAATAAGCTAATTAATTATCTTGAATGAGTGATTGTTTGAAATATTTAAAAATATTAAATTTCTAGTTATATCAATTTGAAATCTCATTTATAGATAAAATTAAACAAAATTTAAATTTAAAATATTTATTTTTAAAAATATCCATTTAAAAAAACTAATCTAAAAACCTAAACAAAATCAATATCAAAAAGAAATTATTTTTATTATTATTATTTTCTTTATCAAACTCATTTTAAAATATCAAAAAGAAATAAAGATTTCAATATTGAAATAATAAAATAACAGTTTTTCCTTTTCATAATAAATTATTATATTATCAATATATTTAAAATCTATTCCGTTTAGAATCTTCATGTATTAACTGATCATTCTAGCTTCAAATGTGTATATGTTTATATAATTATATATAAGATTATAATATGGTCATATATATGAAGAAATATAGTTTAAATACAGTTTATAAAATTTTATATTTTATCTGGATTTGTTGTTTAAGAATTTCTTACTTTTTTAGATTTTGTAAAATAATTTTATTTGTTATTTTAAAGAATTTTCTCTATTATTATTAGTTACGATGATTATTGGGGAGAATAAAGATTTTTTTATTAACTAGTAATTTTTTACAATAATTTTAAAAAACATTTTTAAAATGTATTCTTTAATAATAATTGACATTTTTTTCACATTTGCAAAGAGCCCCAGAAATTTGATGGATGACCGTTTGGACACGACATTGAGCCAACGGCGAGAGGGAGGGGAAAGCAGAAGCGATACAAAGGCAGACCACCGTATGTATCAGACCCAAATTCATTTCTCAAAAAAAAATGAAATCTTTTCTCTCAGTCTCCACTGCTCCGCAGATTCGCTCTTCTCAATTTCTCTCCCTTTCTCGTAGAAATCCGATCTATTTTACCATCAAAATCCCAAGTTCTCTCTCCCTGTCCCCACGTAAGAGACGCTGCGCTTTCGTCCCAATCTGTTCTTCCTCAACCCCACAGAAGCCCTTGATTTCGAAGGGTTCATTGGATTACGATGGGTTTTCGCAGGAGTCAATCGGCGATTTCCATGATGAATCGCCCGAAAATTTCAGAGTTCAAGTGGGCAGTCCGTCGCCATCGTCGATTCTTCGATCAGCCAAGCTGAGCCTGAGCGATCAAGCGTTTTTCCTCTTGGCGTTCATCGCTTGCACGGTTTGTATCCCTTTTGCAATAGTTGAAAATGTCGCCTCCCTGGGTTTGAACTTCTTCGTCGGATCAATTTTCTCCCATGGATCTTTACGATTTCAATCGGAGTTGGTTGTCTCCAGTGATGGGTATCCCGTGAATTTTGAAATGTTTCATAATTATACAGAGATTCTGACTTTGGGGATGAAAATTGCTATGCAAACAATTTAGTGTTTGGTTCCGGCTTGCTTATCCTGAGGATTTCTGATTTAGCCAAGATTCCCTTGTGAAAATTTAAGGTGAAATTCTAGTTTGGTGATGGAGGATTATAGCTCTGAGATCATTAGGGATGATTTTTATGGTTACTGAAAGAAGAAGAGATAGGGGAGTGTAGAAGAGTGGCAATTAATTATTGCATCTTATATGATAATAACTCTTTACACCAAAATGGAATGCCTTGCTTGATGATAATTTAGTAGAAGCAGGTTTGGAAATGTTTGACCTTGGCATCTTTGTTGTTGTTGATGCCATGTGGAAATGTTTTTTTTTTCTTTCATATAATTGTTTCCCCATTTTCATGCATCTTACTAAATTGGCACAGTTTGTTTTGTGTTTTTGTTTTGATTTGTTTCAGACATCAGTGGCTTTTACAAGTCTTGTCATTACAGCTATACCCACCCTCAATGTAAGTCTTGTTCACTATCAGTTATCTGATTCTTTTCCAAAATCCTTTGAATTCGGGGGTTTTATCTGATCCAAATAACCTCACATTTCCGTATAGAGATAAACTTTGTTTCAATGTTTCCTGTCAGCACCCAAGTTGTAGGAAAAGGAAAATCTAAGGAGTAGCATAAAAGTGAAGTATTACTGCCTTAAACTTGAACTAGGACCAGGTTTCTCTCGTAGAACAGGATAATTTGAAGTAAGTAGCACAGATTGGACTTTGATTAATGTTCCTTACCCTTATAGTGTCTAACTCAGCATACCGGTTTTCGATTCCTTTTCTTAATTTTCTGAAATTTATCCGATTCAATGAAGTATGGAAAATTTGACAATGTGGTCGATTTCCTTGCTCACCCCTTCCTCTGGGCGGGAGGATACGTTGATATATATCATCATCATCATCATCATCATCATCAGTGTTTCCAGTTGTGACCATTGCATTGAAACCTGTACTTATCTGTGTTTCTTTTACAAAAATGTTCAGGCAATGGGTAGGGCTGCAACTTCCCTTGCAAAACTAGCGGACACTGCTCGTGAAGAGCTGCCGAGCACAATGGCCGCTATAAGGCTCTCAGGCATGGAAATAAGCGATCTTACCCTTGAACTCAACGATTTGAGGTGATCCTTTATTTACCTCTAATCATTCTTGTTATACTATATGGTCTTATCCCCTGGTCTACCATATGTTTGAGACATTTTTAACATTTTCATCCTCTGGTGTGTTGTCTTGGATTAATATATCAAACGTTGTGAATATGACTTCAGCCATGAGATAGCTGATGGGGTCAACAAATCGACTCAAGCTGTTCAAGCAGCTGAAGCTGGAATCAAACAGATAGGAGTTCTTGCCCGCCAACAGACTATGTGTAAGCTTCTCTCTTTTTTCAATTTACCTCTATCTCGTCTACTAAGGTCCTGTCTCCATTCTTCCCGGGTTACTTTAAGATTCACACCATTTGAACTTTCCCCATTCATGTTACCTTAGCGGTGGGTGCGGGTCGGGTATCAGGATTTTTGGGATACCCGGTCTCAGTTTCGCCCCAAGGGTTTTTTTTGGGAACATTATCTCGGTCTCAATCTCACGAGACCCCAGGTTCTCGTGGCCGAAGTCAGGTACCCGCAGGTATTCGAACCCATAGAAACTTCGTTGATTTTAGGGTTATATTGGTAATTTGATACCAAATAGACCTAGGTATTACTGTAAATACATTCAAATAATAGGGATAAACATAATTTTTCTTCTGCCGGATATCCGCAATAATCCGTCATGATTCAGAAAAACCCGAGCCCGAACCCGTGGTATCCGAGTTCTTGGCCTTGTCGCACCTGTATTCAGCTTTGTTGGTTGTCGGGTACCCTCTGAGACCGGGTATCCGAAAGCCCGCGGGTCTCGAGTATCTGCGCCCAGCCCAAGTATAAATCACAATTTGGAACGTGTAAGTTCCATTTCTTTTAACCTCCTTACACATCAAAATCCAATTTGTTGGCTCTCCTCCATAATGGAAACCGGAGGTCTTTATTCTATTTTTTTTTCCATCTTCTTGAGCAACTCAGTTAGAAATATAAATCATGGTTTGCTTTTTGATTTCTTATTCCCCATTTTCATTCATTGACCAAAGTCTTAAAGGTTTTGTATAATGAAACAATGGTTGATGCAGCCATGATTCAAGAGAGAGCGAGTTTACCGGCAATATCGTTGCAACCCGTCGTGAGTGGTGCAGCCAAGAAAACTTCTCGTGCGGTCAGGCAAGCCACCAAGACCCTACTCAACATTATAGCCGGTGGTGGAGACAATGAAGAAGATTCTTCCAATGTATAGACTGGTATTTGCCTGTGTTCGTGGTTTAATCATAACCGGACAGATAGTCGTCCGGTATGCACAAACCGGTAGAGAATTTAATCTTTTAGGGTTTCGATCGGACATGAAGGTAAAAAGCCTTGGAATACGAGAAGGGTTGAGCTTTCTGCTGTCTATAACTTGTTTTAGTCCATAGAACATTCACCAATCATTTACATAAATAAATTTAATTGCCCATCTCATATGGAATGAAATCAACTATTTTAGACACGCCAAATAAAAACATTTAAAAAATATGTAATCAGTTGATTTTATCTTAAAATATTCACAAATTCGCTATAAATTGTCGAATTCAAAGTAACGTTAGATTAAGATTCTTTAATATTTTATAAATATACAGCTATTATATGCAACTTATAAAAATCATCGGACAAATATGCATGCAAAGGACGCTGTAGCCATTTTGATCCAAAAGCAAACTCTAAAATGTCAAGTGAAAACAATTAACTATGAACTGAAATGCAGAGATTAACATGATACTAACAACTTATGTATTTCGGATTTTGTCGTTTTAAATTTTTTCGCAAATAAAAAAAAAGTTATATATATATCCATTAAATTATGTTCTCGTCAATACTCTATTCAAGTTGAATGATTAAATCAAGAATAAAATTGGAAATTTTCTTTAAAAAATTCACTTGAAAAATCTAAAACAGTAACAAGATAAAAATTATTCTCTAAAGCGTCATGTGTTTAGAAATTGAGAGATTAAATAACATTATATCCGCATTAATTCTTCTTACACTGTGTAAATTATATCAATGAATTGGGGCTTGGCAAAACAAGTCATGAAATGCGGCTATGCGTATGACCACCAAAGCAAAGCCTTAGCCTACCGCCGACACAGAAATGGTGATATCGATCCATCTCTCTTTTCCGTAACATTTATTGCTCTTCGACGAGTGGCTAACAATATCCTTGCATCGGTCGAGGCTGTCCAAAACCGAGCCAAATTCATATATATATATATATAAGTGAATGATGATGATTTTAAAAGTTGAAGCAAAGTCTTGTCAACTAGGTTGCGTTAAATCTCCAATCCAAATGTTTTTTTTCCTCACTCTTTAATATATTGACATCTACTCGGAATATTCTCCTTGAGGAGACATTAGAATATTTTAATATCACATAACCTCACTATTAATATCCCCATAATATTCCATGTAATCTATCTTTAAGTATACTATATAATCCCTTCTCCGCAATATCTTTATTAAAACAATTTATTATATCTCTTTCCCAAATTTTAGAGTTTACTTAAGTATGTGATGCATGTAGAATCATCATCATTCACTAATTATACAACTTTTTACAACTTTATCAAATGATATATCAGCTTCTACCATTATTTCAATCAACTGATTTTTGGGTATCAGAATTGAACATTTGTCCTACGAGACAAAGGAGTTAATTCGATAAACGTAGGGAAGGTGTGGTTGGGCTCACATAGTTACACCATCCGAAGCCAATAAAAGCATGAATTATTAATAATTTTTAATTGACGGTTTGGCCCTATGCCACGTCATTTTAGGTGATAATATGGGACCTATATAATATATAGTGGTAGAGTCCAGGAGTCGATCACGCAGCCGGAACGTACAGAAGCCTTTTGTTACAAAAAAAAAAAATGGGAGTGAAGGTTGAGCTTATGAGCAAAGAAGTGATAAAACCAGCAACGCCAACACCTGATCATCTCCGAACACTTGAACGCACTCTTTTCGATCAGGTCATGCCACAAATTTACATAAACGCAATCTTCTTCTACTCAAAAACATCCAACGACCAAACCCTAACAACCCTTTCTCAGCGTCTGAAGAATTCTCTGTCCGAGATTCTCACTCGCTTCTACCCGCTTGCCGGACGAATGGAAGGTGTCTCTGTCAACTGCAACGACGAAGGAGCTTTGTTCACGGAGGCTCGAGCCGATACCCTTCTCTCGGATTATCTGACAAACCCAGATGCCGTTTCGCTCAAGCAACTCATCATCAACCCGTGTGATCGTTTAGATCCGGGCTCATGGCCACTGCTTCACGTCAAGGTAAGTTTCTTTCGAACCGAAGGAGTGGCTGTCGCTGTAAGTGTTTCTCACGAGATTTTCGATGTGGCCTCGTTCTTGGCGTTTGTTCGGAGTTGGGCCGATAGTATAAGAGGGTGTGCTGTAGCGAGTCCCCAATTCATAGCTTCGACTTTCTATCCTCCTGCTGATCTTTCTTACGAGTTTCCTCCACTGCTGCCAAACGGAGATAACTTCATAACGAAAAGGTCCGTTTTCGATCCTTCTAAGATCAAAGAGCTGAAAAGTCGAGCTGCTAGTGAACATGTACCGGATCCTACTCGTGTAGAAGCCGTCGAGGCACTTCTCTTCAAGGCAATAAAAGCATCGAGATCGAACGAGCCATTCGCCACAACACAAACCATGAACCTGCGGCCTAGACTCGCTTCTGCCCTCGCGCCAAACGCGATGGGGAATTTCTTTTACTTGCCTTTACTGACGGAAGACTCTGAGGGCGAGATGAAAATCGCTAAGACGGTGATAAAGTTAAGGAAAACAAAGGACGAACTTAGCGAGATAATCAAAGAAGATCATTCCCACGGCACGACAAGAACTACTAGTACTGCCGAGCTCGGTGAGAGGGTGGCGAGCGAGATGCTGACGTCATTGTGCGAGTTAAGCCCTGAAATGGACAAATACCTCGTGACCAGTTTGTGCAGAATGCCCTTTTACGACGTCGATTTTGGATGGGGACGTCCGGTTTGGGTCGCGACTTACGCCTACGAGACACCGAAGATGTGCATATTGATGGACGCAAGGGATGGCGAAGGGATAGAAGTGTGGGTGAATTTTCCCGAAGGACACATGCTTGCGTTTGAGCACGACCAAGATTTGCTTTCTTTCGCCACTCCAAACCCTCGCATTTAGATCTAGTTGTTATTACATGTGTCGTTTGTCGTCTTTGAGCATTCATACCTCTATCATTCTTAAAAAAAAAAGAATCAAGCAGTGGTTCGAGTTCTAGTTCATCTCCCAAATGTCTCGAGCGTATATGGTAGAATAAAATAGAGATTCGATCGTGAATTAATACACTGTAATGCGTCCATCGTTTGTTTTTCAAAACAACAAGACATGTACAACAAAAATTATTTTCTCCACGTGCGCAAAACATGTTTGGCAAAAAAAAACATGGATATCTTCAACAGACCGTTGGAAAATTGATATCCCTTGTTCAATCATGTTTTAGATAAACGAGGGACAGCTGTATCCTCGTAGTTCGAACCCAATCGGAGAACGAACGAACAATAATTCAATGCTGTAATGAACATAAATTGTACAACCCAAAACCATTTTTAACCATTTTCAAAAAAAAATATACATTACATATATGTATATATATATATATATATATATGATATATGTATATGCATTATGCATATAAGATAACATATCAGGATTCTTTGAAACATGTACGGATATTAGGCTGTGGCTCCGTCTACGTCTCCGGTGTTGGCGTTTTCTTTTTCTCACCGGCTGCTGTTCTTCCTGGATATGGTTTGGTTATGACGAGTTTGGTTTCTGGTTCAATCAATTCGGTTTAATCTCTGGTTTGCTCTGTTTTATGGTTTGGTTTGATCTGATAAATGACCGGTTTAATCTGATTCCCAGCTTCGTTGCCGGTTTTATGTCAATTCTTGGTTTCGAGTCCGTTTATATCGACTTCTGGACTAAAGTTCAAAATTTCGTCTGAATAGTTTTTAATTTCTTCAATTGTTGGTGAATTCATAAAAAAGTTCCATCGATTTCACTCAATTCGTCCTCGGTTTCAGTTTTGATATAGAGATTTCTCTTTTCGATTTTGACGATAGCATTTTTTTTTTGTCTTTTATGCCGTGGAAACGTTATTACTCGATCTGATGTTTGATTGTTCCGTTTGTAATAAATTGTAATGGGTTCAATTTGCATTGTCCAATTGGTTTAGCCCGGTACAACTCGGTTTGGTTCAGGTTTATATACAAATTTAAAAGAGAGAAAAAAAAAACCAAGATAGGCTCTGGCGGAGTGGGCCTGGGTAGGGATGTCAAAACGAGCCGAGTTCGCGAGCCGGTTCGAGGTTGACTCTTTTTTTATCGAGCCGAACCAAGAATATCTGAACCCAAATAAAAATGGGCTGAGTGAGCCAGTTCGCCACGAGTCGAGCCCAAACGAGCTAGCTCGGTTGGCTCGGGAGCTGGCTCGGGAGCTGGAGTTAAAAAAAAATTTATGTTGAAACTTGAAAGTGTCGATATTGTTGGTATGATATTTTGATCTGAAGATGGTTTTTTGTATATGGATTAAGATCTAATTGTATATGGATGGATTAGGATCTGAAAATGGTTTTTTGTACATGGATGGATTATGATTTTATCTATTTGTTCTTTTTATGTTGATATATCATTTGGAAATGATTTTATATAATTTGATATGATTTTTTTAGATATTTAGAAAAATATGAGCTGGCTCGTGAGCGCCTCGCGAGCTAAACGACTTGGGCTGAGCCAAAAATTTTCTGACCCAACTAAAAATAGACTTAACCAGCTGGACTAAAAATGAGCTGATTCAAAACGAGCTGGTTCGAGCCGGCTCGTTTGACATCCTAGGGCCTCGGTATGACCATTAAAAGCTAAAGATTAAATTGTAAAACTTCAGCGAAATTTAAATCCAAAATCCAATTCTCAATCTATTTCCTGAACCGAAGTCTCGTCAGCAAGAACCACGAAGTAACGTTCCACTTCAAAATCCGAAACCTTGAAGGGCAACAAAGCTGGTGTTGTCGAAAACACACACCGAGTCGAGGATTTACCGCCTGGGTATGTCTATTTCTTGCTCTAAACCTTAATTCATCTTCTGGGTGTTAAAGGGTTTTCTAGGATTGTTGTTTTGTTGTAGAATTTTGGGTCTGTGTTTAGGCTATGGTTTCTGATTGCAAACTTTGGTTTTGTGAATCTGCGGAAGGAGATAATGTTGGGTTTAGTTAGGGCTAAAATCCTCTATTTTGTGTGAGCGCCCGCCTGTATGTATATCAAAAGGTTTCATTTGAATTATGGGGTGTTTTCATGTTCTTAAAAAAAGCACCAGTGATGAATCGAGACGCCAATATGATGAATAACTACACGAAAGATTCGTGAGATTCACCTCTTTTGTGGATGTTGATTTCATGATGTTTTCTTTTTTCAGGCATTTTCACAAACACCTCATCTGCAGTACTGAAAATGCGTGGACTCTCTATAATAAGATCAAGGTTGTTGACTTACAAGGGTTCTGCAAGTGCCCGTTTGAGATCGGCTTGTATTTCGCCGAACTGGAACATGAATCGTATCGTTGAAACATCTTTATGTTCTATCCCAGATTGTAAGCTTCAATTGTTTCTCTGCTCTTTCTTCTCTAGTTCTGAAACTGTTAGCCGGGCTAATTCATTGATTCCAGAATCTGTGGGACTTGATCGCAGTACTGGACAAAACCGTCTTGACAACGAGGAAGATGATGATAAAAGCGAAGAAGATGATGATGACGACGACAATCTCGTTATGGGGAAATCTGGGTTTACAAGTGATGAGGGCCTTTTAGCGGATTTAGAAAGAGTTTTGGTTCTATTGAAGGCTTGTGGGAACAATCGGGCTGAAATGAGAAGCAAGCTTGATCAATGCGATGTGAAGCCGTCATCTGAGTTAGTGGTGGAGGTTCTTTCTCGGGTTCGTAATGACTGGGAAACTGCATTCACTTTCTTTCTGTGGGCAGGGAAGCAGCCAGGTTATGTTCGTTCAGTTCACGAATATCACTCTATGATCTCAATTCTGGGTAAGATGAGGAAGTTTGATACAGCTTGGACATTGATCGATGAGATGAGAAGGTGCAATCCGTCTCTTTTGGCCCCGCAGACGCTGTTGATCATGATCAGGAAATATTGTGCGGTCCATAATGTTGGGAAGGCCATCAACACGTTTTACACATACAAAAGATTCAAGTTTGATCTGGGCATCGATGATTTTCAGCATTTGCTTTCTGCCCTTTGCAGATATAAGAACGTCGAAGATGCCGAGCACTTGATGCACTGTAATAAGGCCACATATGCTTTCAGCATCAAAAGTTTCAACATAATTCTGAACGGGTGGTGTAATGTGATAGGTAACCCGCGCGAGGGCGAACGGGTATGGCAAGACATGGGAAAGAGAGGCATCAGACATGATGTTGTATCTTATGCAAGCATGATTTCATGCCACTCAAAAGCTGGTAACTTGAATAAGGTTTTCAGACTATTTGACCAGATGAAGAAACACCGTATCGAGCCTGACAGAAAAGTCTACATTGCCGTGGTTCACGCTCTCGCAAAAGCCGGGTTTGTATCGGACGCCACGAATCTGATGAAAACGATGGCGGAGAAAGGTATCGAGCTAGATGTGGCTGCTTACAACTCTCTCCTCAAGCCTCTCTGCAAAGCTAGGAAAACCGACGAGGCTAGAAGGATCTTGAATGAGATGGTGCAGAAGGGAATTTCCCCGAAGATTAGCACATACCATGCAGTTATACGGGTTCTAAGAACAGGGGAAGAGGTTTTCGACCTGTTGGAGGAAATGAGGAAGACGGAGTGTAAACCAAACATAGACACATACACAATGCTGATACGGAAATTATGCAGATGGCACGATTTTGGTAATGTGTTTAGATTGTGGGACGAGATGAAAGAAACCGGGACTGGTCCGGATCGTAGCTCATACATTGTGATGATTCATGGGCTTTTTCTGAACGGTAAGATAGAAGAAGCATACGGGTATTATACGGAGATGAAGGAAAAGGGTTTGGAGACGGATAAGAAAGTGGAAGATATGATTCAGAGCTGGTTTTCGGGGAAGCAATTTGCGGAGAAGAGGATGAGAGATTTGGAGAGAAGTGAGACTGAATGCTTGAAAACAGGTTTAGAGGGCAGAAGCTTCCGGAAGCTGTCCGAAAGAGAAGAGAACTTTCTCCGGCAGCCTCAGGTGAGACGGGTTGTAAGAGAACGAGGATTTTCGTTCTGGGAAGAGTAGGAGAGTTCGGGTTCGGTTTGGTTATACTAAATCTCATCGTGTCCAATGCAAGATGACTGATGATGATGATGATGATGATGATGATGAATGATGATGTGGATTTGGTCCACGTGGGTTTCTTGTCATGTCTTGTGCAATGAGACGTTTGTGGGACTAATTGGAATGTTTAAAGTAATAAACACAAAATGAGTGAAGTTGTGATAGTAATATTTGGAAATATTTGATATTTGTTTTATACTGACATTTATTTTTCATTTCAAGATTACAAAACATTGTTCTCCGTTGTAAATACATGTAATATCATTATTTCAGTTGGATTATATAAAACCGAATTAGTTCTAAAATGTTTGTGTGATATTATATTTCTAAAATTAAATTACTTGATCTCGAATTAATTGGAAATTTTTTTTTTGTAGAAAATGAATATTGTTCTCGATGAAACCCAAATTTAAACGGAATAAGAACAGAATCGGGAATCAGATTAAAATCCAATACAAAAATTAGGATGCTCAATTTTTTGTCTCCACATGATATCCTTAGATACTAAGGAGAATCCTAAAGTCATTCATTTAACAATCTATAAAACAAATGAGAAAAAAAAAATTAAAGGAAAACGACTCATTTGGTCAAATTCCGAAGGACTATAAATTAAATATGAAGAAAATGATTATATATTATTACATAAAAAAAAAGATTATCCACAAAATCTGATCAGTGATCACATGACAATGCCTTGAGCTTTTGGAAAATCCAATCTGTCTTAATTCCATCCAAGCTGTCTCTACCCGAGAAACAGTCAAATATGTGTTTTCTTTATTTTTTCAGGTTCTAATTGTATTTTTATATGTCAAATATATATTATAATTTTAAAAAATGTCATGTTTATGCTTAGAAGATGGATGCTAAATATAATACAATGAAGGTCAAATTGCATTTTGAATTAGTTTAGATTAAATCTGCTAATTAAATGGTTTTATATATGTAGATTGTTATTTCCAAAAATCTCCAATCAAAATTGTTATTTATATAATTTATTTCATTCCAAAACTCGAATGTTTTTTATAGTTACTTCTGCTAACATATGAATATCAGTTTTCTGCTAACAAACCACGTAGTCTTTAAAATAATTTAGTTTCTATTCAATTTTTTTTAAATTAACTTCGATATTAAGTAGGTCTAAATCTATTTAATTTCAATTTTAGAAAAAATATATTCAATACATATCTACATTAAAATATGCTTCCTATTATATATTATTCAACTCTTTTCGATTTAATTTTAAATAATGAACCAAAATGTGATTTCCTTATCGTTGGTAATTAGTAATTATCTCACACAATAATTAAGATGTCATTTCTTTATTTTATATTCATTTACTTGGAATGATCCGTAAATGTTGATCTTCTCAGACACGTCGGTCTGAGTTGTGGTACACGTGGCGAATTATGGTCCCACCATTAATGATGACGTAAGAGTTATGTCACAATCGGAACGCGGGGCCCATTCGCTCCCTTCGCCGGTTAAATTTTGTGGATGCAAAAGTCAAACTATTTTTTTTTAAGTCCTCATTGCTCAAAAATATTGGACCCACACGTTAACGATGACATTTAATTTATCTAGAACTAACATAGAATTTCGTTATATATTTTTCATGGAATTTTCGTGTGTTAGTTGAATTTAAATTGGAAATATATAATTTTAAAATAGTTTTTTGATTTATGAAGTAACTTCTTTTGTTTTGTTATGAATTTTAAATTTTACAGAATAAAGTTTAAATTCTATTTTTTTATTTCCATTATTTGATATTCATTTAAAAAGTTTAATTTGAATTGAAATGGTGAGATATTAAATATTTTATAAATGTTAAAATTTATTTTGATTTATACTTAGTTGAAATATTTAAAGGTACTTGTATATATAAATATACTTAAAACTAATACATTTTGAATCTCATATATATATATATATTTTTTTTAATTTATCAATTAAAATCTCAAATATACGTATACATAAGATAGTAATATATTGTTTTTTTTAATCAAATTGAGATTAAATTTAAAATTACAATAAGAGATACCATTCGTAGGAAAATGAAGTGTGATATCCGATCTCTATATGGAAGATGATATTTGACAGAGCGTGTTTAGAACAATATTTTTTTTTAAATTTCTCTACCGATCTATTATTACAAAAAGAATATTTACTGTTTAAAAAAATAAATAAAATTAAAAAGTATTTATTAATCAACAGAGACATTATCCCACATACCCTCTTTTTACTTAAACTATTTCTGCACATACTCTTCTCCAATTGTAACCTTATTATCAGAATTCATGTATAGTCACATAATGGTTACATTTGCCATAATGTTAAATTTATGATTATTACATCAAATTACCATGATTACACCTTACATATCACACTAATCATTTGATAAAATCATAAAAAATGTAATCAATGTGACTATCATATCTGCTCACAAAATCACTAACCGGAGAAAGATAGGTAGTATAAAGAAGGTATTTTGGATATTTTGCATAATCTCAATGTCTATTTCATGTTTGATCCAGCGGTCTTTTACGTGTCAACAAAATCTTTGTTACTAAAGCAATAAATAATTTCTACAAAAAAGCAATAAACGAATTAAAATATATAAAGAATCTGAAAATTCCAGATGGACCCACGCCCCAAAAATCCTCCGATTTTCCAGCAAAAAACAATGATTTATTTTTAATCATTAAGATTCACAGCCATACCAATCTCTTATTAATTATAATATTTTATAAATGAAACAAAATACTCTCTGGAAACAATATATCAGATTTAATTATTATTTTGTTGAATCAAATATCCAACTTTATTTTTTATTTAATATCTATGGGCTCTTTTTCATTTTTGAGCAATCGTTTTGGAGCAATACACCCAATAAGAAAAATAAATAAACTTTTTTAGAAAAAATAATAAGAAGATCAATTGCTGAATTATTTCTCTGTGGCTTCTTCGACAACTCAAGCAGTTAACTTGGAGCCCACGGAATTTTCCGCGTAAGAGTCTTTTTCCCCTCGAAGAAACTCCTTTATTTAAGCAGCATTTTCTTCTTCTTTCACACTTTTTCTACCGCTAATCTCTGGTTTTTTTTAATTGATTGATTCTTGGTCTACAAACACCCACATATTATATACATACATATATATATACACACACTTGTTTCTCGTTTTCTTGAGCTTCTCCAAGCGATTCATTCCAACAAATTTAAGATCTGGGTTTGTCTTGTTCCTTTGAAACTCAGCAAGAAGGCTCATAAAAACCGAATCTTTCCAAGCGGAATTTAATTAGGGTTTTGTGGAAATGGAGGATTTAGAGAGCAGCGACAAAGGGGAAGAACTGGTTGAGTTGCCGCCGGGATTTAGGTTTCATCCAACGGACGAAGAGATCATAACTTATTATCTGACAGAGAAGGTGATGGACAAAGAATTCTCAGCCATCGCAATCGGCGAAGCTGATCTCAACAAGTGCGAGCCTTGGGATCTTCACGGTTAGTGTATATAGATATATATACACACATACATATATATATATATATATATATATATATTCTTCTTCTTCTTGCATCTCTCCCCAACAAATTTCTTTCTCATGTTTGGCATGCATATGGAATTGTAGAGAAAGCGAAGATGGGGGAGAAAGAGTGGTACTTCTTCTGCAAGAAGGACAGGAAGTACCCGACAGGGATGAGAACGAATCGTGCGACGGAGTCAGGTTACTGGAAGGCGACGGGGAAAGACAAGGAGATCTTTAGAGGCAAAGGCCTTCTTGTCGGAATGAAGAAGACCCTCGTCTTCCACAAAGGAAGAGCCCCTAGAGGACAGAAGACCAATTGGGTCATGCATGAGTTTCGTCTCCAAGGCAATCTTCCTTTCCCAAACCCTAATCTTTTCTCAAAGGTACCATATCACTATCACTACTCTATATATATATATATATATCTTCTTCATCATTATTAATCACTTGTATGCGTTTTTGGATTGTTACATATTTCTTTACGTTATGATAACAAAATTTGCAGTCTTTTGGGCCTGAAATCATCATGTTTTATAAGGATTATTTTTGTTTTTCATTTAATTGTTTCGCAATATATAATATATATAAATATGTATCCTCAGATTTATCTAAAAGTTAAGTGGACTGTGGATAAACAGATGCCAAACAAAAAAGATTTTGAGTTTTTTCTTGGTAAAAGCTTTGCCTTTTATATATGTATATACATATATATGTGTTTACATATATGCACATGCATTTTCACTGCTTTCCCGGCGTTTCTTTCGTGTTTGGTTAAGAGTTTCTTTCACGTAGGTGTCAAAAATCATAACGTTGTGTGTTAGAGAAGGTTAGAATCTTGTACAAGTTGGTAACTATTATTATCAATAAATAAAAATAACTATAAAGTTGTAAATCAAACTCTAATATTAATATTGAATTATATTTTCAGGACGAATGGGTTGTATGTAGGATTTATCACAAGCCTCTTGCTTCAGCAAAGAAGAGCCCATTCGGTGAACAAAAGTTGAGTTCCTTTCATGATAATATCGACTCTCTCTTCGAATTCTCATCTCTCCCTCCTCTCATTGACCCGAGTCCATCGGACCGACCCGGTCGGAGTTTCTACGCCGGAGATCCGCCGGAGTTCAAGTACACCTCCGCCGCACCATCCCTGCATCCGGCACAAATCACCGCCGCCACGAACCAATGCTTCATACCCTACTTGATGGACCAAAACCCTCTAACCCTAAGTTACCAAAACCCTAACGAAGTCGGTGTTCCATTGTTGAATGGTCCGAAAATGGAGCAAATGCCGTCGTCGTCGTCGACACAATCGGGAGTTAGTGTGGATGTGTTTTCGGGGCATAAGAATGTGTCCGTTGAGACTGGCGAATCTTATGAAGATTTTGCAGATCTTTTGGGGAATATATGGGCCTGTTGATTGAGATTAGCTAGGGTACGTTTCTAGCTATAGCCTATAGTTATATTGATAAGGGTTTTGGCTACATTCATGAATCATATATATATATATATATATATATATATATATATGTATATATATATATGTGTGTGTGTGTGTAGGATTCAAGTTCATCTCTTCATTTTTTTTGGTACAAAGTCTCCTCCAAATTAAGAACGCGGTTATTCAACTTCGTCAATAGATCAACCCAAAAAAAAAAACTTCGTCAATAGAATATATAAGATTTTGCTGAAATGTTTATCCTCATAATTATGTATTATTTAATTTAATTCTATTAAATTTCACGTAATATCTAGAATCGAAATGTGTATCCTAAAGCAAGCAAAACAAGAATATTTTTTATCGTAAAAGTAATTAGGGATGAGCGTTTCGGGAATCGGTTCAGAATTTTAACGGTTCGGTTCGGGAACGGTTTATTCCGTATTCTAAAATTTGTACCAAATTATTATTGTATATTATTTGGTTTGGTTCGGTTTCGTTTTCGATTTTTATCAAAAAAAAATAGATTCTTTTAAAGAAAATTTCGGTTTTTCGAGAATTTTATAAAGTTTGATTCGGTTGGTTTTGGTTTAGGAAAATTCGATTCTATAAAAAACATACCGTTCGAGAGAATTTTGAATGATTCGGTTCGGAAAAAAAATATCGAAATTTTCGATTCGATACGTTTCGATCTCGAGAAACCGAACCGAAGTACCCACCCCCTCGTAGAACTATAATAAAGCAAGACATGTGTACGTGAAGGAGGAAATCAATGGAACCAGCTAACAAGTCTCGTGATTCATTCCCTACTTTTGTGCAGAAAATGTCTTCCCAACATTATTTTCAACGATACTAAATAAATAAAACACAATAATTAAACTAAATAAAATTATGATGGAATAGGACCGACAGCGACTTCAAAATAATATTATCACATATAATCGTTTCCTTGAACAATGTCATGTAAGTCAAGTAATTCAAATCTTCTGTCTAACGCAAACCGATCCATCTGTTAATTGCTTAATCACTACAAATTTCTATATTAATATCTGGAGATTAATTTTACAATGATGTCGTATAAATATAATGTTACCCATTATATATATATATATATAAAGACTACAATCCAATGGATGTTATATAATTGTAGACTATTTTTTATAATGCTATCCATCCATTATAACAAATAAAAGACTATAATCGACCGATAACATTACCTTATTTATTCTGAACGTGTTCACACATAGAAATTTTTTTATACTAATTGTAATATCAAAATCCAGTCAGTTAAAAACAATATTTTTGTATCAAAGGAGTGAAATTATTTGTTTAATTTTTATTCACATGGCCACCGTATTTTTTATATATATAAATGTATGGTTCATAATTTTAAAATTACTAATTGTTAGTCTAGATTGTTTAGAAATTAATAAATTTTAGGATTTGTTTAAGTTTATCTCAAAATTTTAAAAATAAAATCCCAAATATTAAATCAGGAGTGTCTACCCATCCAATCGTTTTTATAGTTTAATGATTGTGGTTAAAAATCTATGATTCTAATAAATCAGAAAATGTTAATTATTAAAGATATAATATTTTCAAAATTGCTATTTTCCAACACATGTATATACTCGTCTGGGTTTTAATTTATTTTTTAAAAGTCATGTTTAATCACATCTTTTTAAATTTCGCCTTTTATTGATAACTTTTCGAATTATTTAAAAACGTTGTGAATTTTAATACCTCTTTCAATTTTTTTTTTTGTGGTGAAATTTTAGCTTCCGAGCATTTGTTACGACAAGTGTGTCCACGTGGCGGTTGTTCGGGCAGACTCGGTCTCTTTTATCCGAAGCACATTTCATATCTCCTCTTATGGTATAGATTATCTAAAGCCGTTGATCATGTCAACAAAATCGACGGTTGTAAATCAAACAGCACATAATCAATTCCTGCCATAATATTTTTCGAAATTTTGACAAATAATTAATTTTCCAAATTACGAAAATTAATGCTATCCATATCTTTTAGTTGTGGCCAGTATATATCCACAATGTGATTAAACCAAATTATATATTCATGAATAAAAATCAAATTATAATAAATTTTATATAATAAATGGTGTCAATTTGATTAATTTTCACGCAAATCTAAGTATTCACTGTAATCAAAAGAAAATGTACATCTTGGCATTAAACGAAGAAAATCAGAAATTAAGTGAGTAATAGATACATTTCAATTTAATAGCTATAGTGAAAAATAATTTAATTCAATATTTTTAAACAAATCAGTTCCGATAATCCAGAAATTTTCACATCATTAATATCCACGAGAACCTTATCCATTACCATTTTTTCCTCTTACTGCCACAACTCACCACCTCTATCAACCGTTAGATATGTAAAATTCCAATCCAGATCCAACGGTCCGTATCGTTTCGTGGTGAAAAAAGCAATTTAAATTGAAATAAAAGGAAATTGAAACTGCGCCTTGAAGAAAGAAAGCAGAAACAAACTTCGCCGGAGATTTCAGAGTTCGCCGAGAGAATCTCTTCTGAGAAAATTCCGTCTGAGAGATTTCGATTGTTCTTCTGGTGATTGGTAAAATCGTGTTTTTGTCTGTCCTCTGGGTTTATAATTTTCTCTGGGTAGAAAAGAAATGGCGGAGGTGATTTGCAGAACGAGCATATTCCTAGGGGCTTGTCGGAATCACCATGCGAATGAAGTCTCTGATTCACCAGTAAGCTTTGGTAAGAAGAGTTTTTCATGTCTGAAACTGAAGAACCAGAGGCCTTTAAGAAGCGACTTCCATGGAAAACGGGTCGTTTTGGGAGATGGTAGGATCGAGAGCTTCAGACGAAGCTTTCAAGCTTCCATTAAAGCACAGGTAGCGAGTTTTCTCTTTATCTTAATTTTTTTTATTTTCTTTGTCTGTGTTTTTTTTTGTCTTGGTTTAGAAAGGAGATTGTTTTCGTTTTCCCTTCTTTTGGACAAAATTAGAAATGGAGATTAAGAGATCTGATTACAAGATCATAAAAAAACCAATTCATAGTTTTATTTTTTGGAAATATTTGGTATGATTTCCATTTTGGGATTCAAATCCACAGTCAAATGTTATTATCCTTCGTAACCACTCATGTTCAGATTCGTATGATGAACAAGTGATGCGATGAATTTAGGGTTTTGTTTTGGTGATATTTTGAATTATTGTGTAGACTGCTTTGAGAATTGGGAGCGTGCAAAAATGGTGGGAGAAGGGTCTTCAGCCAAACATGAGAGAGATCACATCTGCACAAGACCTCGTAGACTCGCTCTGTAGTTCCGGAGATAAACTCGTTGTGGTCGATTTCTCCTCACCCGGTTGCGGTGGCTGCAAGGCTCTTCATCCCAAGGTATCATTGAATTTCCATCTAACGTTGTGATCCTTGATGAGCTTGTGCCTTGTTCTTGGTTCATTCATGTATTATTGGACTTGTTTTTTCTTATGAATCTCCTGTGGCATGGCATATTCGGAAGCCTCTGATTCGATCTTGAAACAGCGGAAAGATAACCTTTTGATCATTGTATTCCAGCTTGGATAGTGTTTCTGAATGTGGGTTTTTCTTTATGAATCTCCTGTGGCGTATTTGGAAGCCCGGATTCGATCTTGAAACAGCGAAAATATAACTTTTTGATCATTGTATTTCGGCTTGGATATGAATGTGGGTTTTTGTTGGTACTTGCAGATATGTCAGCTGGCCAAGATGAATCCTGATGTGCAATTTCTTCAGGTGAATTACGAGGAGCACAAGTCGATGTGTTATAGCCTCGGCGTCCACGTTCTTCCTTTCTTCCGGTTCTACAGAGGGGCTCACGGCCGTCTTTGCAGCTTTAGCTGTACCAATGCAACGGTTTGTATCCATCCCATTGAGTATCCATTACAGTTTTGGCAAATTGAGAATGAGAAAGAATCTATCTTCGATTTCAGTACCGCTGTCACTGATTGATGGTTCATCCCTTTCTTCTTACTGCAAAGCTTTTGATTTCAGTTTCTTACTCGTATATCTATCGATGCACCTCTCTCAGATAAAAAAGTTCAAAGATGCGTTAGCGAAGCACAGCCCGGACAGGTGCAGCCTCGGCCCGACCAAAGGCTTAGAGGAGAAAGAGCTCGTTGCCCTCGCAGCCAACAAGGATCTTAACTTCACATACACTCCAAAACCATTGTCTCAACCCACTGACAAAGAACCAGCTACATCTGACCGAAACCCGAATCTGCCACTTCCTCTTCCGCCAAAACGTGCCGGTGAGAAGACATTGGTCACTGCCTGGAGATGAGACAGATCAGTTCGGTTCAGTTGGTTGTCCCTAAGAGAATATAACATCAGCTCTTGTACAGTCTGCGTAGTGGTAAAGTCGGTCATGTCTCTTTTGTGTTTGTTATATTTGCACTTTTGGTGAAAGATGAGTCTGGTCCGGGAGCAAACCGGCTTTAGTGAGGTTTGGTTTTTTCAGAACCCTGAACCGGTTTGTATTCTCCTTGGTGTGAAAGAGCAAGATCCGCCATGGAAGCTTTCTCGGATGGCCAAGAGATCAAGAGAATGTTCTGTTTGAATCTCTTTGTTTTTATCCTTTCCTCTGTTTTTTTTTTCCAATCTCTTTCGGGTTTGATGTAAAATGAATGGATGAAACTGATGCAATATAGATTGGTAATGAAGGTTAATATGAGATGGTTTTTCAGTTTCTGCATATTGTTTTGATGCAAAGTTGGCATTTGGCCATCTCAATCACAGAATAAGATATTTGTATAATTATATTGGATAATACAATTACGAAATCTAAATTCCAATTTCAAATTATGTAAAAAACCTTAATTTACAAATTAAAAATCGAATATGTATATATATATCTGAAAATCGTGGAATTTTATCCACCTCTAGTCAATATATAAATTTATATATTATGCATGTTCCTTTCACTCCAAGGGACCAGATTTACTTTTGTTGTATTGTTGAAGCAATATATTTTAAAGCTTTTTTTTTTTCTGGAAAGATTTTTGAAATTTTATGTACAAACCACTCATTTACACACGAAGACAAAACGATGAACAAAAACAGGGAGACAAAACAAAGAACCGTACATGGTACATACACTTGGAATATTACGAATTTTTTTTTAATGGTTCAGTTTTTTTTAATGTAATAATGTTGTATGGATCAATCATCGCCACAAGATTATAAATATCAGCGTAAGTATATATTATATTTAAATCGAGTAATATTTGGTTATATAATTTTAATTCCAGATAAATTTTTAAAAATGAAATAAAATATTTATTTTATAATTAAATAATTTTGAGTAAAAAAATAACGAGTCGAATTAAAGTAATATAAAAATCAAATTAAAATCGGATTGTTAGATTTTAAATTTCAAATTAAAAAAAAATCCAAAAATGTCCTCACCGAGCTCAAAATATCCGAATCATCAAAGACGCGACGTATAGCCGCGGTTTCTAATCACATATAGTACACTTTGGCTTTCTCAAAAGCCAAATAGTATTTTCCCGGGTCCGATCCGCCCATTTTACACCCTAATTTGAATGGTTTGAAATAGAAAGACCAAATTTCTTTTTATGCTTTCTTTTTTTAAAATAAATTAATTAGGTGTGGTTAATTTTGGAGGAATTTCGCCTGTAACGAGTCACTTCCTAGTCGTAAACGAGTTACAAGCTTTACGTGAGTCGGTGACCGAGTCCAAGAATACACTTTCATATTCCCCATTTCCATAGTACATAGAAATCACATCAGTAACGGTGCATTCCGGCCCTCGGGATCCTTTCAACTATGGAATTCTGACAGCCCGAAAACTCGGAAACAAAAAACAGAACGACGATTTCCAACCCTTCCTTCATTCATGTATCAGTATATTACAGACCTTAGAGACACGACATCTATGGTGGAAAAGAAAAAGAGAGATACATCACCCGACTTGTATTACACGTAGTGATCATCAAAAGGGTGCGGATGTACTAACTTCATTCCAACATGAGATCTTCAGATCCTTCCGAAACAGTCTTAGATCCTTTCTTCTTTTTACCTGTGTTTTCGGGGGAGTTTATGTTACTTTTCAAGCATATAGATCGAGTAGACAAATTAAGTAAGGAACAAAATGTGATACCGGGTTTGGCAATCACGGGACTATTCACTCAAAGTTCAAGGCTTCACCTTTGCGGTTTAATTTCCTGAGCTTCAAGCTTTTCTTTACGCTAAACTTTTTCGGGTTTTTCTTGGCGTCTTCAGATGTCCCTACATCATCAGATGCTGTATCCAATACCAATAGTATGAGATCAGGCTTTGAGTGTCTATACTCTTGAAACCAGACAAGCAGGAGACATAGAAGTGCAATAATAATACAAAACAAGTCTACAGCAAAACTAGAAACATGCTTCATGGAACAATTCATTCATCGCCTCTAAGACATTGGACAGACAAGAAGTACTGAAAATTAGCTACTGCTGAAAAAAAGAAGGAATCTTGAATGTGTGCGCGTGCATGCCGGGAACAAGAAAATCTCATGTGCTCAATCAAATGATACTACTTTATGCTAAGACAGTGTATGAGCACCCGGTGTTGTATATAGTCCACAGCTTTCCATGGTTTTAAGCAAACAACGCAACGACAAAAACGAAAAAGAAACAAGTTTCTAGACGTGAAAACAGAGACGGGAGAAAAAAAAATCCGTTACAGGGCCATGAATCATGATCATTCTGAAAGAAGACGATCTTTCTACCAGATCTCTGAACTAGAACACAGTATATACACTTCACATAGTCTACACGATTGGACAAATGGGATAAAATTTCCTTTTACATGAAAGAAAAGAGGTCCAAATTTCAATTCTCTTAGAAGAACAGCAGAGTATAATCCAATAACTGATACCATCATAATTGAATTCATAATCAGATCAGACTGCAGAAAAGAACAAACTGCAGATAATTATGAGAAAAGCATGCACTCTTCTCTGGCATTTCATGCGGAATTTACCTTCAGCAGAAGCCATCTCTACATCTTCCATGGTAACGAGACCCTTCTCCATCATCTCTTTCTGCTCCTATTCTCGACCAACGAGAAATACTTTATAAGAATCCCATGAAGAATTTACAGCGGCATTAAAAACCAAATCACCCTCTTAATCAAAATAAATCCAACTCCTAACAAAACACCCCCACATATACAAGTATCCATGTGTATCTGTATATACACACAATTGACAGCATTAAGAAAGAGGGGAAGAAATGTATGTATCTATGTACATTCGGTCGTGTTCATGTAAGAGGAATCACATACTCTGCGCCATTTTCGGAGGAGTTTCTGCTTGCGCTTGCCGGAGATAGAGAGTTTCTCAGTCTTGTGCTTCAATTTTCCCGTGGCAGGATCACCGTGAATGGCTCGTTTTCTCTCAGCCTTCGCCGCTCTCTTCCTCTTCTGCACTTCGTTGAACTTCGCCATCTCCCCCCAGTTGCTTCCCCTTCCTCTCGAACCCTAGGTACTCTCGAAACCCTAAATCCCCAGCTTTGGGAGGTGTCAAAAATTGATTTTTAGAAAAATATTTTTTTTAGGGTTCATAGTGTTGGGCTTCTAATCTAGTAAACGAGGTATTTGACCTTTGGGCTTATCATATATATAATATATGGTCTCTTCTTTCTCGTAAAGGGGAGAATCCACATATATTTCTTGATTTTGGATGATGTTTTGTAACTAATTTGCTGCATTTATTAAACACTAATACCTTACCAAAAAAATATTACTTTTAGAGATTTCTTGATTTTGTTATCAAGGAGATGGTATTTCAATTTTTCTAATTTTGAACCAAATATTTATGTTTTTTTTTATGATTTGACACTAAATAAGAACAATATTAAATTTTCTCTTGCCATTTTGTGGTGCCAAAACCTAATAATGTAATTTATTTGTTGTTCATAGAGTCAAAAAAATAAGACAACTATTTATACGATTGTTTTATTATCACCAAGTTTCTTGTATTAAACCAAAATTTATCCACAAACTTATCATTTGATAACCATCTGAAGTTTAATGCGAATATGATACATTTCTAATCACTACTTAGTCATTATATCCAAATTACACACGTCATAATATAAAATAAATTTGGATTTTTTTAAAAAGGAGAATAATAAGAGGAAATATCTATGTATCTTGGAAGCACATGTTCTCCAGCATCATCTTTCTCCACAAATGGTCCGAATTATTACCTCATCATAATATATATATATATATATATATATACACACACATATGGAGTGATGTTAATTTAATGCATTAATTATATATGATTTTTGTCTATTTCTGTGATTTTGTAAAATATTCTTAGTTATGAAAAAGGAGACAGAACGGTGCATGTGAATTCTCAATGAGGCAATAAAAATATTGGATGTTAGGTAAGGAATCTTTTTTAATTATTATTAGTTTTTTGAGTGTGCCCTTGCAATGCAAAACACACATATTAACATATATATATATATATATATATACATGTCTGTAGACTCTGAATGCATGTGTATGTATGTATGTATGTATATATGTATGTATGTATGTATTATGTATGTATGTCATATCTTGAAAACTTTTATGTGTAGTTTTGAAGGAGTAAATGATATATATATATATATATATATATATTCAAATTTAATTTACCTATAATACAATTTTGAATAATTTTGTACTTTTTTAATCTAATAGTTTTGGTGGTATAATTTCTTTGCCTCTATATACGGTGAGGATCTTACAAATACTAAAATCCTTTTTGTAGGAAACTTGATTTTATATCAACTTGTTATACGTTAGCTGGAAATAATTAATCAATATTATGTTGACAACTAATCAATAATTATGGGGAAAAAAATTAGAAAACGAGAAACTAATAATGAGCAATGACTGAGACACATTCTCGCCATGTTTCAATGTCCCACAAATCCCAAATAAGTACAAAGCTTTACAAGTCACTCAATGCCTTATGATTGGCTTAGCTGTTTATGATCCCAAGATGCCACGGCCTCATTTTATTGTTTTTTTTTTATAAAATATAGATTATATTAATAAAAAATAATTTCAAACTTTTTACACAAATTAAATTTATGTGAGATTAGTTACAAGATAGACTTTTATGTGAATAGTTATTATAGAACAACAAATTATTAAAGCAAAACAAATAGAAACGCTGATTTAAAACCAACACGACGTGGTTAAAAAAAATTACAAATAATTATGGGATTGTTGCCGTTTAAGATCTTATAAAGATGTAATGTAGTTCCAAAAGGCACAATCAAATACGTAATACTTAAAGCGACGGTTTAATGATTTTTTAAATCATTTGATAATTATCTAGTTAATTTCAAAATTAATTTGTAATAATTTTCGAAACCATTTTTCACAAGATTTGATGCAATCTTTTTTGGTTCTATTTTAGAATGATTTTAGAAGATACAATCATATTTATTGCTAAATGTTTATACTACATTATTTGACTTAGTATCATTGATATTTATCAATGTAATATTGCCAATAGATATAATAGGCAAATAAAACATAATCTAGTTAAAAAGATTTATATTATTATTGATAAAATATGTTTGCTAGAAATTTAACAATCTCCCATATTGGAATGAACAAAATTATATTGGATTAATTGTATTAGGACCTTAGAAAATACCAAGTAAAAATTCATAGCTAAGCTATCAAATTGAAAGCTCTAATTTGTAAATACAAGAAAATCATCAATGGAAAAAATTATGTTATTTTTTTTTGCCCTTTTGTTGTGGGCACCGAAGTGAAGTGAGACAAAATCACAGAAAAATAAATTCAAAGTTCATGGCTTATTTAATTAATTAATATTTTAAAAAATAGTTTATAAAGATAACACTGTAACTTGTTACATTATTTTACAGCTTCTCCTCCAGTCCCATCATATTATAAACTTCTCTTCAGTCCATTTATCTCATTTGTCCCATTTTGCTTGAAAATGGCATAAAACTAACCCAAGTGACCAAAGACAGAGCAGAGAGAGACCTGCAGAACACAAAATGCAGATTCCCCATTTGTTCTTCCTCTGTTACATTGGTTTCTCTCTCGTGTCTGTCGTTTCTGCTGAGACATTTCTGGGTTATTATGAGCAAGAGATCTTGCTGGCAATCAAATCCGACATTGTTGATCCATCCAATCATCTCCACGACTGGAAGAAACCAGAGGATTTTACAGAGATTGATGGCTTGGCCCATTGTAAATGGACCGGAGTTCACTGCAGTTCAAAGGGGTTCGTGGAGAAGCTTATTCTCCGTGAAATGAATCTCACCGGAAACACGTCGGATCAGATTCAGAGCCTCCGTTTTCTGCAAGTCATCGATCTTAGTGACAACGGGTTCGATTCCTCTCTTCCTAAGTCTCTTGCAAATCTCACTTCCTTGAAGATCTTTGACGTAAGTGTCAATAACTTCTATGGAAGATTCCCTTCTGGTCTTGGAATGGCCAGTGGTCTCACTTATGTCAATGCCTCTAGCAACGATTTTTCCGGGTTTCTTCCCGAAGATCTGGGGAATGCTACCATGCTCGAGGTTTTAGATTTCCGAGGAGGCTATTTCGAGGGCTCCATGCCTTCCACGTTCAGGAAACTCAAGAATCTCAAGTTTCTCGGCCTCTCGGGTAATAACTTGGACGGGGAATTGCCGAGGGAGATTGGTGAGCTTTCTTCATTAGAGACCATCATTCTTGGTTACAATGGCTTCACGGGCGAGATTCCAGAAGAGTTCGGGAACCTTACAAATCTTCAATACCTTGATTTGGCTGTCGGAAACCTCACGGGTCAGATCCCATCTTCCATAGGAAAGCTGAATCGGCTCACGACAGTTTATCTGTACCGGAACTGTCTCACAGGGAAGATTCCTCAAGAACTCGGTAACATTACTTCTCTTGTGTTTCTTGATCTTTCTGACAACCAGATTTCCGGAGAGATACCAATGGAATTAGCAGAACTGAAGAGTCTGCAGCTTTTGAATCTGATGAGGAATCGACTCATGGGAAAAATTCCTTCCGGTATCGGTGAACTACCCAATCTCGAAGTTCTTGAGCTGTGGCAAAACTCTTTCACGGGTTCTTTGCCGGTAAATCTAGGAAAGAGTTCGCCATTACAATGGTTAGATGTTTCGTCAAACAACCTAACAGGCGAAATTCCACCGGGATTGTGTGATTCCAGAAACCTCACAAAGCTCATTCTCTTCAACAACTTGTTCTCAGGTACGATTCCAGAAGGTATCTTATCATGTGAGTCATTGGTCCGTGTTCGTATCCAGAACAATCTAATTTCCGGAATTATACCAGTCGGTCTAAGCAGTTTACCAAAGCTTCAACATCTGGAGCTAGGAAAAAACAATCTCACCGGTCTGATCCCAGATGACTTAGCTTTATCTAAGTCGCTCTCATTCATAGATGTATCCTTTAACTGTCTCTCTTCATCTCTCCCTTCAGCCATTTTCTCAAGCCCCAACCTTCAAACCTTCATCGCTTCACATAACAACCTCGATGGAAGAATCCCTAACCAATTTCAGGATTGTCCATCTTTGTCTGTCCTCGATCTTTCTTTCAACCACTTCCCAGGTGAAATTCCAGAAAGCATTGCCTCCTGTGCAAGGCTTGTGAATCTCAATCTCAGAAACAACCAGTTGACAGGAGAAATCCCCAAAGCATTAGTCACCATGCACGTGTTAGCGATCCTTGATCTCTCAAACAACTCTCTGACGGGCAAAATACCCGAGAACTTGGGAGCTTCTCCAGCTCTAGAGATGGTGAACGTGTCATTCAACAAACTTGGAGGTCCGGTCCCTTCAAATGGACTGTTTTCGGCCATAAACCCTAACGACCTCATGGGAAATTCTGGCTTATGCGGTGGAATTCTACCTCCTTGCTCTAAAAGTCTGGTTCTTTCTGCAACAGAGAGAAATCCCAGGAAAATGCATGTGAGCCATGCAATCTTCGGGTTCATTGTCGGGACAGCCGTCATACTGTGTCTCGGGATGACATTTTTTGCAGGGAGATGGGTATACAGAAGATGGGATCTGTATAGAAACGTTCTGAGAGAATTCTTGTTCCTCAAGAAACCCCGAGAAGAGTGGCCATGGCGGCTAGTGGCCTTCCAGAGAGTGAATTTCACCGCAGGAGACATCTTATCACACATCAAAGAATCGAACATCATTGGAATGGGAGCAACAGGGATCGTCTACAAAGCAGAAGTAACGAGACGGCCATTGATCACAGTGGCAGTGAAGAAGCTCTGGAAATCTGCACAGAGAGACGTTGAAGATCATCAAGACGAAGAGGAAGAAGACATCCTCAGAGAAGTGAACCTCCTTGGAAGTCTCAGACACAGAAACATTGTGAGGCTTCTTGGTTACATACACAATGAAAGAGAAGTCATGATGGTGTGCGAATTCATGCCCAATGGAAACTTAGGCAATGCATTGCATTCAAATGATCAGAAACTCTTACTTGTGGATTGGGTTTCGAGATACAACGTCGCAGTCGGTGTTGCTCAAGGGCTGAATTACTTGCACAACGATTGCTACCCACCGATCATTCACAGAGACATCAAATCGAACAACATTCTTCTCGATTCGAACCTCGAAGCGAGGATTGCTGATTTCGGGTTGGCGAAGTTGATGCTTCACAAAAACGAGACGGTCTCCGTGGTCGCCGGATCTTATGGGTACATCGCGCCCGAGTATGGATACACCATGAAAATCGACGTGAAGATCGATATATACAGCTTCGGCGTCGTTCTTCTCGAACTGATCACTGGAAAATCGCCATTAGACTCTTCGTTCGGCGAATCGGTCGACATCGTGGAATGGGTCCGGCGAAAGATGGAGAACAACAACGAAGGAATGGAACAAGTTCTGGATCCGAGCGTCGCCGGAGATTGCAGACACGTGATCGAGGAAATGCTTCTTGTCCTGAGAATCGCTCTTCTCTGCACCGCGAAGCTCCCGAAGGATCGACCCTCGATCAAAGACGTCATCATCATGCTCGGAGAAGCGAAACCTCGCCGGAAAAGTGTTTGTGAGGAGAGAGGATTATTCGGCGGCGATAGAGATCGGCCGGTTTTCAGTAACTCCCCGGTGATAGGGTTGATCTAGAAGACGGAGGAGGTGAGAGACGGTGCCGCCGGCTGAGAAGAAGGGGTGATTTAGTAAATTTGGGTAAATAGAAGGGTACGTTTGTAAATTCGATAACGGATGTAAGTTGATAATACTTCAATTTAGTAATAAAGTTTTTGATTTTTGGACCTATTAATCTACATTTATATATGTAATTGTCTCCTATATTATAAGGAATTGTTCTCCCACATAAATCTCGATATGTTTACTTTGGAGATAAATATCAAAATTAAACTCCCAAATTAGAGAAAGAAAGTTAACCTTACCGAACAATAACGAGTTTGCATGAAATATTATCATATAATATATTTTCAGGGAGAATCGAACTTTAACATAAATACAAATGGAAAACTAATCGGTTTTAATTGTATTGTGATTGATTTTAAAATTTCATAAAACCATATTCATCATTACATAAATAGGTTTTAAAATAATGTTCAGCCGGTGATTATTGTGTATGGGTAACTATTAAAAAAAACATCTTTTTTTTAATGCTAATATGGTAATTTTTTGTGATATTTTATGACCGTAACATGATATTTATTTTGAGATAATTCAAATCCCATCGAACCACTTCATCGATTTTGTTACCTAATCTCGCGTGAATCTGTAGATATTTTATAAAAATTAATGAAATAAATAGAGCAATAATTAGAAAAAATATCAAAAGAAGTCCGGCGATCATATTCGGCTCAGTGGCAGAGCAAAGCGTGGTCAGCGCTAGCGGCCTGAGTTCGAATGATGATTGCCATCCCATGATGATGATGATGGAGATGATGATGATGATGATAACAATAATAATAACGATACGTGGCACATATGAGGTACTCTAAAGTACCTTTTCGTTTTGTAAAATTGGTTTGATTTTTTTGCTTCTTCTTCCAAATAGTGTTCGACATTTATGCATATTTCATCTGTATAACAACATAAATCATAATTCAATACCTTTATTCTAAAAAGCTATAAATTTCTACAAATAAAATATTTCATTTTTTTTTTCTAAATTTCACGAGACGTAAATTGGATAGAGGCAAACGTCTAGTAACCATCTCTCCTATTTAGGATTTGAATTCTATTTTATTATTTTTATTCTAATTTTCTATACAATATATTTATTCCATTTTTATAATGAGTTTAAGTTGTATGCTATTATTTTTTCCGAAAAAAAAAATTAATTTATAAAGAGTCAGTATAATACATTTTATTGGGATTTAATGTTTTCATTTTTACAAAATTATATTTAATTGATTTTTATATAATTAGATTGGATGTTTTAATTATGTATCAATCGATATTTGTATAATCTGGTTTAACTTTGAATACATAACGAATCTTAGTGGGGCCTCAGAGGGATACATTTATCTACGGCAAAGCCCACCTGAATATACATACAACAGCCGTAGATAAAATCCTCGGTACGCCAGACAATGGGACCCACATAAATCAACGGCTCTGGTTCAATATTGTTTCGATCATCATATTTGATAATAGACAGAAGACATTTTAATTTTGTTCTATAGAAGAGGAGCTCGAATAGAATTCTTCGTGGGGCTCACGTCAACTGAAAACCCCAGTTTTTCAGCTCGTGCCCTTGTTTCGATCCATCTCAGAGAATCTATCTTCGATTTTAGGGTTTCTGATTCTGTCCCGGATTTCGCGGAAGCTATCGTTCGTAAGATTCTTCTCTGGCTGTTTTTTTTTTTTCATTTTTTTTGGGTTCTGTTCCAGTTCTTCAGCTTTTGCCTGTGTTTGATTGCAATCTGTACGAGCAAGATTGAGGTTTTTTTCGATTATGTAAAATTTTGAGAGAGCTTAGTACTAGTTTGGTTTGGTGAGCATGTAAGATTCTTCTGCGTTCAATTTTAGCTTTGAAGGTCGTGTTTGAACTTTGATCGATCGGGAAATATTGTAGCTCGGGAGGAGTTTTTGAGTGTTTTCAACGTCTATATACTCGTAAAGTTTATGACCATGCTTGATGGATTGCCCTTAGTTGTAAGCTTGTAGCCTGTAGGACACAGATGGAAAATTTTGTCGATTTTGCTAAAGTTTTCAGAGATTTTGATTTACTTTTTTGAGCTTGTAAGATTCTTTTTGATCAAGTCTAGTTCTGGAGCTTGTGTTTGTACTTTGATCAAGTGGAAAATAGTTGTCATTTGGGCCCCTTTGCGAGTTCCCGTACACAGTTTTTATTTTAATCCTGATGGATAGATTGTGTTAGTTTTAAGCTTGAATCCTTTCGGTCTATCTCTAGAAATCAAATTAACTTCAGAGAATTTCGCCGAATTTCTGATGGGTCAACAGGTTTCGCCTAGCAGCCTGTTGGACTTTTCGCGTTAAGTTTTAAGTTTTTTAAGACATGATAGTTTATGATCGTATGTTTTCTTTATAGCTCCGGTCCGAAAATTGCCTTCATGTCAAAACCGTGCCTTTGAATGAATTTCTTTTATCCACCCGGCTTTGAGTTTTGCTTGTATAACACAGATTTTGGAGCAACTGGTTACTTGCTTCTATTTTTTCTGCAAATGCTGTAAGATTTGGAGCAGAGGATTATGAATTTTTTTTACCTTTTATTGTTAGGAAAAAGTTTAAAGTTTCTTGATTAACAGCTTCTAGGCTAACGTTTCTTGAAGATTTTGTCTCTTGTGTGTTGATAGGAATAATTTTCTTATGTCAAAGATTTTGCATGATATTTTGTGAGCTTTAGAACATCTTTTCTGCCTCTTCCCCTTCATTTTATGCAATAGTTTACATCTACTCCATCTCCTTAATACTGAACTGTTGATAACTTGGGACTATGGCTCTGATCGGGCTTCTCACCTCTGTTGATACTGGTTCTTTTAAAGTTTTATATACACTTTTGGATCTGTGTGCATGAAATGGTATAAGTTTTTTTTTTTTTGAACCGTGGACTATGGCTGGCATTACTTTTTCGCTCTAATCTAATATGCTTTCCTTATGGAATCTTATGCGTTTTTTGTCTTAGCAAAAGCCACAATCCTTTTAGGGGGGACGATGGAGCATATATGGTACCTTTGGCTCCAGATTCCACAAATAGTGCCTCTCTCTTTCGGTTTTGGCCTTTTTTTTTTTCATTTAATTTTGGGTTCATCTCCTCCTCCTCCATGGTTTACGCTTCTAGAATATAAACTTTTTTTGAACGGGACTTGTGCGAGTATTTTATTACTTTCACTTGTTCTCTTAATCTACACCGCTCCTTATTTTTGGTTGAAACATACAAAAATACGCCAGCAAAGTTTCTGGAAATGCATATAGAAAGATACACAAATTAGGAAAGCTTTAGAATCTAGGGACGCTTATGAGGAAATAGAAGACAAAGGCATTATTTTGCTGTCCTGTCCCCTTTGTGAAAAGCTTGCCACAGAGTCATTTTCCGGCATATTTGGTTTGGTATGTTAACGTGATTATGTTTTCTTCACGCAGGTACTGTGATTATGGACCTGAGAACCTATGAATCTTGTGCTTTAAGAAGTTTGGTCCAATCTGTTGAATAGTTGACGAAGAAAAAGTTTGCAGTTCATTATATATATATTAGGCAAGAAGGCCTTGCAATCTTGTTCCCTTTGACCCTCTCCGGCAATTTTAGGTACCCTCACGTTGTAGGGAAAAAGATTTTGTTTCAGTTTCCTCCGAAAAGGAGCCCGTGCTTAACACCATGCCATGGGGGACTTCATCCTCGCTGGCAAACAATGGTTCTGATGCGTCGTGCTTCATTCCCCCATTTACTCAGCTCTCCAGTGGCATGGCTTCTATGTCTGGTTTTCCACACAGGACAGAACCTGGAAGTTCATCATTCGTGTCTAGAGTCCTAAATGATTTGTCTTTTCCTCAACCATCGTCAGGGGAGGGAATATGTTTAACACCCAATGATTACTCTCCTTCAGCGACAGAACCTCACTCTTACTTGAATTATCCTGTCGAACAGGAGGGCATGCCCTGGTCCATGGATCCCCTTCAGGGTTGTTTTGTTATTTCTGAACATGCTGTAGAGAACGTTCAAGTAGAAGATGGCACAGAGCTCATCAAATCAGGGCATAATTTCCATGCACGTGATTGTCAAGATCTGCCCGAGCAATTGATATGTGTCGATGATGCCCTGGATCAGAGCTGGGATCAGCTTCTTGCTGACATTAACGCCCAAAATCCAGGGCCAAAGGTTTTTTTTTCCTTTCCTTTCTCTGGCAGTTTCACTTTTGACACACACTCTCTCTTTTTCTTTTGATGTCTGATTCGTTTATACGAGCTAATTGTTTTGCTTAATCATATCGCTTTTCGTCTTTCTAAAGTATGGAACTTTAATTTATCAGATACCAAATGAAATTCCCAACTTCATGGGGCAACTACAGGAGGTTCACGAAAGTCCAGTTGTTCCATCTGAAGAACAAGCTCTTACCGTAAACCCACCTTCCAGTACGAGCACAGCCGCAAATCCGTCATGCCCTGCAGCATCGACCAAGTCAAGAATGCGTTGGACGCAAGAGCTTCATGAGAAATTTGTAGAAGCTGTCAATGAACTTGGCGGTTGTGAAAGTGCGTAAGCATCTTATCTTATATTTTATATGTTATTTAACCGATTCCATAAGAATAGCGTGATATCCTGGATTATGAAATTGCAGGAGCCACACCTAAAGGTGTGCTAAGGCTGATGAACATTCCCGGTTTGACTATCTACAATGTGAAAAGCCATTTGCAGGTTTTAGTCTCTGTTCCTATGCTTTGAATGTTCCACTTAGCTGCATATTTTCTTATTTGATAACCTTGACTGTTTTTTTCCATGTCTTGTCACGGGAACGATCCTAGAAATATCGAACAGCCAGATACATACCTGACTCATCAGAAGGTATACATTTCGCTTTAACGAAACTTCCCGTTTCTTTGATTCTGCTTTCTTCTCTCTATTTCTCACGGGAAAGACAGACGAATTCCTAATTCATTGTCGAAATTTAAGAGAATGCCTTGGCTTAGTTTTTTTGTTTTCTCATGCAGGGTCTTCTCAGAAGAAATCGAGTTCTGTTGATGAACTTAGATCTGTAGACCTGGAAAAGTAAGCGATCTTATTTATTTGTATTACTAGTTAATCGCCGTCTTGCTTTGCTACTTCAGAAACTGTATTTTGAAGGTTTAATCCGGGTTATTTTTTTTGGTAAACTCTCAATTTCTTTGTGCTGTTGAATTATTTGCAGAACTAATAATCCTGATTGTGATGGTTTATCTCTTTTTTGTTGGGTCATCAATTCCATTTTTCAGTATTACTCACCGGAAACTTAAATGGCAGGACCATGGGGCTCACCGAAGCTTTGCGGTTGCAGATGGAACTCCAGAAACATCTTCATGAACAGTTGGAGGTATCGTCGTCTTCCCATTCGATATTTTCGATGTTTCCTCCCTCGAAAATACATAAGAAAAACATTAGTTATGGAAATGATGAGTACCGAGCTGAAATATTAACCTGAATTCACTAAAAGCATTTACGCAATCTATGAACTGAATAAAAAAATAACCGAAAATACTGAGATTTTCTTTGAAAATGGGTATCTTTATCAATAAAAACTGAAACTAAACTAAATCGAAATAAGACTGAACCATCTGAACTGATATAAAAAACCGAATGGTTATAGTCTTTTCAGTAACTGAAATATAACCGAACCCATCATGAAAAATCTTTGTCTTAATGTCCATGTTGTCTGGGTGTAGAACCAGCGGAAACTACAGCTGCAAATCGAAGAACAGGGAAAATGTCTTCAGATGATGATTGAGAAGCAGAGGGAGATGCAGGAAGAGGTTTCGGAACAGAACAACAGCGCCAATGCAAACAAAAACTCGAGCAAGAAGCGCAGGAAGGACGAGGGCGGGGACAAATCTTGCAGTGAGTTCAGACACTCTTCCAAGAAACAAGCTTTAGAGTCGTAGCAGTGGTTGAAACTTTATAGAAAACTAACAGCTTTGTTAGAAGTAGAAAATCAACAGAGAACGAAAAGCATAAGGAAAGCTCTCGATATTTGGTTTGAATTTGAAGGATACTAACATTTTTTTTGGTATAATGTGAATGTGTATTTATCAATAATAAGAGTTTTTGGCCATGAAACCTGTAAACAAAATAGGTACAAGGAATTCCCATCGCAGTGGTCAAAATAAACTATTCATTCAAGAGGCTTCGATCAGTGGAGATTTCTCGTGATTTGGCGCATTAGGTAGTACCAATTCTCCAACAACGAGCATCTTCTCCAATGAATTAGACTCATTATTGAGGATGTGATTGTTCCTTTCGTGCCAAATGAGGTATGTTACCGCCTGAAGGAGGAGCTTCACGATGATCGGTCTGTCTCTCGTGGTGTCGTTAGTGTCCGTCCTGATCCATGCTATACATTCAGTCATTCCTGTCGGTGGATCTCTCCAGCATCTCCCTGCAAAAGATGTCCATAGCAAAACGCTATAAGGACAACGCACGAATAGGTGTTCGTGTGTTTCCACGACCCCCCGCATAGTCAACTAGTTGGATCAACACTCATTCCCCACCGTATGAGTCCATCACGCGTTGGAAGCCTGCTTTGAAGGACCTGCCACAATAGAAAGGAATAGCGTGGTACAACTTCATGAAACCAGACTGTCGAATGCCAAGGAACACGGGGTCGTGGTGTTCGCTGTTGCTGCCATTTGTCGAGAAGACCAGTTTATAGTCGTTGTCTCCATGCTTCCACAACGGTCTGTCCACGCCACTATCATCTGTAGATGTCTTCATTCCCGCCTGAAAGGTAATGACATGACAAAAACCTGGAGCTTATATTATTTTACTTTCTTATTTCGTCTTCGTCTTTTAAAGTCGAAATTCAAACAAGATACTGTATACAGTTTTGCTTTGATTATTCATAAGAGCGCACACATGAGAGGCTAATAAAGCTATATATATAAATATATACATATCTACACAAATTTGTATATGTATACACTGATAATACATACACATATATATCTATTACATACAAAACATATACGTATATATATATATATATATTACATGACAAATCAACGTATATGTATCTATTACATACATATATATCTATTACATATTATATATCTATTTTATAATACAATGGGTATCGATTTTTGAGTATCCGAACATCGGATCGGGATGGGTACCCGATTGTTGGGTATTTTTGCCGACCCCTAACGTGTGGTGGAGGATGTGCTAATATTGTTGTTGGTAGGACAAAGGTAAAGGCAATTAACGGCAAAGTTGACCAACTTACTCCAAAAAACATATAATAGAAATGTTAATGTATGAAATATGTTTTTAATATAGTTTTTTTTTTCTCAAAAAACAAAAAGCCCAAATTCTCGGCCTAGCCCATTAACAACTTTATTTTATTTATTTAATGTTTTAGGGTTTGTGGCGATGTTCTTACGAGTTACGATTCTCTCGCTATATAATCACCACCATGCTCTCATCGTCTCACACGCCGCCTTATCTTCTTCCATCTCGCACCCACCTTCTACCCGTCTTCCTCCGGCGCCCCTCGCATCCGCCCCCCCTTTCCCCTTCCCTCAGCCGATGCCTTCTCTCGCCGCCTCGGATACTCCGCCTTTGTCGATTCATCATGGCTGTTCTCGCGGCGGCTAGGGTGGGGAATTTCTCAATTTCGGACTCCGATCCGGATCCGTGAGAACAACCGATGAGAACGTGCGTTTTGCATCTCATATTCACATTCCCTCAATATCGTTTGTAGATATATTGTTCATACGGATTTTTACATCCATTGGTTTCTAACTATGCATATTAAATGTTTTACGCAATGTCTTCTTTACGTTCGCTCGTTCTCATGCCTTAATTGCTATAATCTCCCCTTTGCAATTGGAGCGCCTCATCAACCTTTTAAATCTTACATAATATTATCATGGCTTTATGTTTGATGATGTGCTGCAATTACTTAATAGGCTTTCTGATAGAGGCGTGGGATCAGATGCCAAAATTTATATGCTTCAATGCAATTATTTAATAGCTTTTCTGAAAGGTGCTCTTACTATTAAAAAAGGGACTAGCTTTCTTGGAATCTCACCTTTCCTATTTATTGAACCCAATACTCCCATCGTATGGGAACTCGTTGTTGATTCTTCGTTCTTTACATGTTTTAGATATTGATGATTATAGCTTTCTTAGTTTTTGATGATTTCTATAAGTGACCTTGGTGTTGCTTGTGCTCATGAAGTCGTTCCTATATCTTCCCTAAGTAATACAAATGCCTCATCAACCTTTTCAACTTACATAATATTATATATCTTGGCTTTATGTAAGGTTGAGAAGGTTGATGATGCATTTGTATTACCACAGAGGCATGGGATGAGATTGGAAAATGTACACTTCAATGATTTTTGGATTTTGTAGAAAAAGTTTTTTTTTTGTCTAAGCTAAATTCTATTTAGATATATAAGCCTTGTTTGAAGATAATTGTACACAATGCATTGCTCTGGGGGTCATCTCGAATGGGTACTTACCAATTGGTATTAAACGTATTTGAGAATAGTCTTTGCCTGTTTTGCTTTATTTTCGGTTTTTACTTCACGTTTATGTGTTGCATATTAGTTTGGATGTCAAATACATTGAGGTCATCTGGCTACTTATTTACTTAGTTTGGTGTTGGCAAGTTTAGTGACATTTAACAATTTAGGGAATTTGTACATGGTATGTGAGAAAATTCAAAAACATGTGCTTGGTATGTGTAACTGGTATTCTAACACCAGATGGATTTGGGGTCAATATATAAGGACGGTCAAACCTCTATTCTGCTTTTGTGGTGTAGTTAGGGCCCATATTATATCAATTGGTATTAGAGTTCAATTCTCTGCTCACCCGTGGACATCTAACAGAAACCTGTTTCTGATTTCTCTTAATATTGGTTGTAGATCTGTTTTCCATATGAATTTGTACATCCTTTGGTTTCTAACCTTAATGGAATTCTCTTGTTTCCGCTTGTTCTCATGCAGTCAGTTCCTCGTATATATCTCCACCCCTTGCAATTGTTGCGCTCCATCAACCTTCTCAGCCTTGCACAATATAATGCATTAATGACTTGTGCTTTACACAATAATACATTAATGAATTGTGCAAGGTGGGAATGTTGATGAGGTGCCGCATATTGCTTAATAGGGCTTGTGAAATCAGATGCAAAAACGTACGCTCCAAATGACTTGATGGTGTAGCTGAAAACCCAACATGTGTATGGTATGTGAAACTCGTTAGCAAATTATTCATATTAGGCTCATAAATATGTATGATATTTGATTGAATAACACTTGTTAACCCTTTGGGGATTAATATCTAACACGTGCTTTTTCTTGGTTTCTGTATATTCAGAGTTTATCCTTTCCAACAGAACTTACCCTAGTCATTGCCATCAGCCGTTTACCAAATCTTCTCTGTTTGGGCATAATCGGCGGTGTCACTCTACTTGCTCTTCTCTGTAGACTGTGTATCTCCTGTAAAAAGAGGTGAAGCTATAAAGAGAAATGATGAGGAAGTTGTCTAACGTTCTCTGTATACAATGTCAATTATTGTAATTTACTACAATGTTTTCTTTAATTAAAAATATCCAAGGTCAATAGAGTGTTGTTGATCAGGATGTGGTCTGACTTTATTTATTTATTTATATATTTCCTTGAAGCTTGTGAAAAAATCTAAACCCTTATTTATTTAGAAATGGAGGGAGTATCTTTGTATAATTGGGATGAGTGTGTACTTATTTATTTAATTGGGTTTGTTTAATAATATTTTACAATTTATGGAATATTCGGGAAATATTCAGTTTCCTTAATTTTCCTGCATGGATCTCCTATAAAAGGAGGGGAACAATTGTTGATCAAGAGCCAAGATACCGGTAAATCTTCCCCCGGTAAGGAAAAATATTCAGGAAGATTTGGAATGGGATTTTCTGGTATTTTGAAATATTTGGCAAGATTTGATGATATTTGGGTTGTTATCTTTCTCTGTGCTATAAAAAGGTTGAAAACCACCAAGCATTCTGGTAACCTTTGCAATTGCTGAGCTTCGTCAACCTTCTCAGCCTTGCACAATGTAATGCGTTTGATGACTTGTGCTTTTACACACAATGTATAAAACACATTGATGAGCTGTGCTGCAAATTGCCTTTAATAGAAGAGGGGAGGGTGGGTGAACAAATGACTTGATGGTGTAGCCGAATACCCAACCAGCACGTGCATGGCGTATGCATGGGCACGTGAATCTCGTCTGCAAGTAAACTCATGTTATGATATTTGATTGAATCTCACTTGTTAACCCTTTTTTTTTTGGTTTCCAACAGAACCCACCCCGAGTTATTGTCAGCATTCAGCCGTTTACCAGAAGGCAACTTTCCATGTATTCGTGTAGCTTGTTGTTTTGTTTGTTTCGTGCAGGCTATTTGAGCGAATTGATGTTGTTCCTTGTGGTTCGGTTATTTACAAAGTATTAACTGATCGCCTTGAGATGGCAAAATATCCAAAATACTCTCCTTATGCTAAAACTACTTCTGCACCCACCTTCTTCCATCTCCAATCTTTGACCTTGTGATAGAATAATTGTATAGTCACATTGGTCACAACATTAGATTTTTTATGATTTTACCAAATGATTAGCGAGATATGTAAGGTGTGACCATAGTGATTTGATGTGATCACCATAAATTTATCATATGACCATATGGTCACAAGTAGTTTTAGCAAAAGGATGATATTTTAGATAATGCCCCGTTTGAGAGAGTGGATCTAACTCGTCAAATTCGGTTGGGTTGTTTTGCATGTGTAATCATAGTATATTTAAGCAAATACATATTTTGTAATTTATTATTTTTTGTGGTATAGAATTTTATGGAGAATTATTAAAGGAATAAAATAGAGATTAAATAGAAATTATTATACGTTCATGGTATCTCTATTTATTTGGAATAGAAAAACAGGTTGCTTTTTATTTGTTTATAACGGAACCGAAATATTCTAATACCGAATAAAATCAAAATGCTTGGCTATAATTTTATTTATCTAAAATATTTTATTTATAACCGAATAAATTTATCGCAAAATAATCAAAACAAAAATCGTGTTCGAAATCAAAATGTTTTGTTCGGATTTTGGTCCAGAATTAGGTGGATCTGCTGAGACGTACTCGGGATCATTTTCGTTCACGGCCGGTGCACATGAACTCGAATATTGATATTCTTTTCCTTTTTTTTGATTATCTTTGATATTCTTTTCTTATAATGAATGGAATATCAATTTTGCATATGCTCTTATTCATGGACATTTTCGTAAAAATAAAAATATAGAGAAGGGAAGGTGTTGCTATTTTTTAGGAAATAAAATCTCATACAAGTATATGGTACGTATATATCAACACTTTTCAAAAGGACACATGTGCTGAAAAAATTTATTTTGTATAAACATTTTATATAACTGACGTATTTATATGAGTGTATTAGTTTTTGGAAGTACGAGGTGAAATGAAAGATATAAGGCATGTTGTGTATTGAAATCAAAGATATCTGAGGTGGAATTTTACGTTTACATGCTTTTTTTTAATCAATCAATTCATTTTTAAAAGTCACATCTGCTTTATCAAATCAGATATAATTGAATACTATAATACATTTTATTCTTGAATGGTAAAAACAATCATAGTTAGAGAGGAAGAAAGCATGAAAAAAGTAATGCAACCATTATTCGTTAAATTTAACACAGTACCAAAAGGATTTGACTTCTCCCAAATACAAAAAGAAATCCACTCGAATGTTGGAACAAACAAACATTATTACCGAAACTTCTGTGAAAAAAAATGTAACAACTAAAATATGTTATTGACCCTATTTATTTGTATGAGATAAATAAGTGAGAATATATATATATATGTCTTTCCCTTGAAAAGCTTCAAAAAATTGTTGAAGTCTCCTCCACAACACAACGTGTTTGGTTTTTATACCGTCAGAGCCAAACCAAACAAAGCCTCTCTCGGCTTCTGGTTTCCGGTTGGGTCACCGTTCTGTTTTTCGTTTTCCGGTTAACTCGAAATGGTCACGGGATTCTCCGTGGAGCGCTGCAACAAGATACAAAGCCGACATAAAGCACGGTATAAGAGACGATAATCCTTTTCCCCAGCCTCCGAAGATCGAGTTTTACATTGACAATAGACACTAGGGCCCAGGGGTGACATATTTGGTTAATAACCATAACTGAATCCGATATAAAAACCGAACAATTATGATTTTTTGTAAAATAAAATAAACCGAATCCAAACCGAACTAAAAAAAATTCTTTGAAAAGATGAGTATTTTTTGTCGATGAAAACCGAAACCGAACCAAACCCGAATAGAAATGAAACTAAACCAAATTCAATATGAAAACCGAATAGTTGTAATTTTTTCGAAACTCGAATAAACCACTTCTAGTTGAGACCGATAATTCTTCGGTTTTTTTATATGTCGTTTCATTTCGGGAATAGCCCTGCTATTGCACCGGATTTGAAGTTGAATATTAGAGAGGATTATGGGAAATTACCGATAAACCTCAAAAGGGAGCCTCGATCGACTCGTCCCATGCCTCAGCGCTTCCATTAGACGCATCTTCAACGTCTTCTTCCATCGAAAGTCTGATGTATTCTCTGTGAGCAAACCGATCCCATTCCGTCCATGTCGGATTCGCCCGCTCCTATTCCCATCAACGTCTCGAGTATTATATACAGCAATATACGGCTAAACGTTTCTTTCTGATGAAATACATACCTGGCGAATGAGGAACGGATCCCGAGTTTCAAACGCCATAAATTTGTTGAGATTGAAAAGGATATTGAAAATGTTGCCCGAAAGTTTAGAACCCTTCAAGTCTTTCAGAGTGATACAGCTCTCATCCTGCAATGACAGAATAGATGGATTGGAGTCGGAAATGAAGGATTAGGAAGTAAGTTAACGTCTCAGCGGTAAACGACTATGGATACTTTGTCAGTCAAGACTTTTTCCGAGTGAAAAGCTTCAACAAAATGGCAAAAAAAAAGGAAGATAACACCATTCGGCAAGAGCAAATCCCGTACCTCTGGTTTAACCATGTCGAATATTTGGCAAAGAATATCCTCGAATAACACCGCCTCTTGCGCCATGCATTCCATTCTATGCAATTGCTCCTCGTAAAAGAATTGCAACTCGTTCCGTGTCAAAACCCCGTTTCCATCCAAATCAATGCACTTGAACCTAGCATAACATAACATAGCATAACATATCAAACAACTACCAAAAACTAACATGGTAAACCTGAGATATCAGATAGCCTAGAACTACTTTTTCAAGATAATTTATTAATACGAGGAACATTTCTTCCGAAGTAGAGAAGTAAAATAACGTCTAAGCACCATTCCCAGGACAGGTAATAAGATGAAGCATCTTACCAATATTCAAGACTAGGCTCCGATAATTTGTCCTCTTCAGCCAGTATAAAATAGACGAAATCCTCATAACCCATCTTTCCTTCAGTTTTACTTGTAAACTTTCTTGGGACCTAACTCGACGTAAAGCACGAGCAGTGTGAAAATGACATTCCGAAGACTTTATGATCAAATAAAAAACTGAAGCACAGAAGAACATAAAAATGGAAGGAAAAAAATCATGGTCCTGCAATGGTACAGCAATGCTTACCTGCGAAAATATTCTCTCCACAATCCGGTAGGTGAGGGCATGGTTACCATATCGGATGAGATTCTCTTTGTCGATCAAGAAATCGTGGTCCGTGTCCAGCTCCCAGAACTTGCAGTATATGACATAGAAATGCTCATAAGAGAAGTACCTAAAGACAGGCCATGAAAGAAGCAATTGAATCAATTACAACAGTATCAGTAATGGATTAACATTTCTCAAAGACGGAAACACAGAGAAAAAACGAACATGTTACCTCAAGACCTTGTTGATGTCCTCTTCCTCATCTGCATGCTGCATAGCATCAATCAAGTTTCCTCGCTTCAGCTCTCTGAGGTTAATTTGACCATTTCCACCCCTATTTATGTAGTAATATATTCTATATATTACAGTCTCAGCTGTTACCAAGATTTTTCGACACAAAAAAAAAATGTAGCATTAGGTTACCAACCATCATAAGCAAGAATACATGAGGAATCAAAGAAAGATTTGGAGAATGGATGACAACAAAGCTTTCATTTCACATAGAAAGATTTGGAGAAGGCGTGATAATGCCAACAATTGGGTGTCTCATGTCTAGCTGAGCATGATCTTAGGCGAGTAAAAAAAGAAAGGTTTAGAAGGAGAGTGATAGTTCGGATTATTAGACAATTACAAAATATTACAGGACCAGGATCAATGATTCTACAAACCAACCAACCATCTATTTTTCATAACATGCCAACGATAAAACTCACAACACTATGTATGGATAATTAAACCTTCAACACTTGGTAGCATGCATCATATTTGGGATCGCATACCCTCAGACCGTGTAAGCATCCAGATACTTAAGTTTATTTATCTCCAGGTACACATGAAACAAAGGCTTTCATTTAGTTTTACTAATTATGCAAAACTATCAGTTGCAAGTAAAATGAACTATAATCAATCTTGAAAAAAGATTAGACCAAATCATAAAGTTAATTGGGTAAAATAAAACTGAGATTCCATCCAGCAGAATACTTTCATAGCCTCAGAACTAACCGTATCTATCCTGAAACTCGGGTGTGCCTTGCAGAAACTCGAGCCCAGGATGTGTTGCCAATAGTTCTCGGAGCACAGGCTTGAAGTCATCCTGTGATAAAATTTATTAACATCTCAACTATGATACAGAATGGCTAAAATTTATTAACATCTCATCAACTATGAAACCAACAAATAGTCAATTCCATAACATAGTAAAACTGATTCAGATTCCTACACGTTACAGAATGGCTAATATATGGAACAAAAAGAGAAGTAATCATCCCATGCAGGTGAAGAAAGTATGAAAATGTGGCATTTCATGATGGTAATCAATATGCCTGTGGGTCAAGAAAAACACCTGGACAAGGTAGTTCTGGTCCGGTTGCTTCAATATCTTAAAAATCTGAGTTGCTATGTCCATTGTCAACATGTTTCCCTTTACCCAATATTCAATGAAGGCCTCCCTGTAAAAAGTAGGTAGAACCATACACAGAACAGATGATTAATTTTCATTACAACCGAAGAATCAGTAGAAGGAAAAAAAAAGTTTATTTGGAACATCAATAAAGGCAGATGGAAATCTACTCTGGGATGAAAATAGTGTCTAACATCCATCCATGACAAAGACCAAAAATCTTCCAAGGTGAATACCATCTTATCATTTTGCTCGCTTTTCAAACTGCGATATTTTTGTTGGTTTCTTGTGCACCTCTCGAAAACCAGAATATTAATCAAAACGTTATAAAACTTAGGACTTCAAGGAAATAAAGCGCCAAGGTAGAAGCAACAGATCATGTCGTTAGGAAAAAATAAAGTGAAAAAAAAATGTTTTAGTATTGCTAAACTACCCCACTTAGACTGACTTTCAAGTATAAGAAATCACAAACCTTGTGACAAAACCAGTATTATTGGCATCAATTTTCTTGAACAGAGAAGTCGAAAAAAATGATGGCAGCTTGCAAACCTCAGTAGTGACTAGTTTGAACTCTGAAAAAGGAAAAGAGGATAAGAGTAACCAGTACACCGAGATATCAACACAACAATCAAATGGACAGGTCACCTTGTACTTGCAGACCGCCCCCATGGCCATAGAACAGATTACTGATCCTGGTTACACATTGCTCTTTTAGGTCATTTGATGGTGGACGGCCACTTTCAAAGTAAAACTACAGCATTAAAAGAAAATCTTTTCAGCACACCAATTAAAAGCAACACACAAGTCCAGATACAACCAATGTAGAAGCTGTGCAAGATAAATGACAACAGATTCAAACTTGCCGCATACCTGAGGTATTATTTCTTTAACGGGCTCACTAACTACTTTCAGTGGAGAAGCAAGATTGGAAAGGCCAGTCCTTTGCCTCATTATACGGGGAGAACCAGATATGCTTCTTGGGGAAAGAGGGGGAGTATTTCGCGCAGGAAACATTGAAGCCAAAGGACTGCTGGAGCCTGAATTTGTCCCAGAAGAACCTCCAGAGACATTAAGAGGAACGCCTGCCTTTGCATCATTGAGCAAAGACGCTGCCTAAAATGAAATACAATGGTATTCATAAAGGCATAAGAAGGAATATCACAAATATCGATCTCTCAAATACTATACACATGCCTCCTTTTCCGAAATGCAGATTAAATAAACTCGTGGTTTACAGATGGTCTAGAAGCCATACCATTTATTTGTTCTGATACACATTCACTTACAGCAGATAATGATTTAAGTTACTCTCAATTATTTGAAGGTTTATCCCATTTCTCCTTGATCCTTCCTGGTCAAGTTTAATAATTCTAATTTTCTGGAGATATTTAGAAAAGTTCTAGAGATCTTATTATCAGCAAACCCCGTCACAACAGTCTTATATCAGCAATAGCTTTCCGCCTTAACCAAACATAGAACTCCTCTATGCGAAGAAAAGACTTAATAGCGGTTCTACAAATTGAACATGTCCAATCCTAGAATCATCCAACAACCATGTATCCTCGGAAGCATCCCATAATTCGACATTAACTCATACAATTTAAACCAAAGTTATTTTGACCCCTTTCGCATTAAGCCAATGGCATATATATATATATATATAAATGATTTTCACAAGCTCATCCAATGGAGCATAAATTTCAGTAGAAACAAGCAATAGCACATCCTAGAATTTTCCATATATCACATTTTTCAAATTGACGCTTGACATCCAGCAAAAACGTATTGATACCCTTTTTGAATCAATCACACACATACGTATCAAAGTGATTGCCACACCTTCACGAAACAGACATAGATTCCAGCAAGAAATGGACGATTAACAAACGATTTCAGAACATAACTAGCAATAACCCATCCCGCAATCCGACATCAATTCGAATAAATACTTGAACCCTAATAAAAACATTCTGATGCCCTTTTCAAATTAAGCACACGCCATATATATGACAGAGATTACCACAAGTTCACATAATCAAATGTGAATTTCAGTAAGAATAGGGAAACTCGCAGATTTCGTATTGCGTACACAAAACAAAGCCGAAAAATTGAATTGAAATCGGTAAAAAAAAACATGACAAATGCCTTACCATCCGATTAGCTTCAGGAAGCGAAAGCCATTGATCGAAGAGCTTCTTCACGAAATCCTGATTCGATTTCAGAGACAGAGGTGACATCTCCGGAAGCTGCAACAAGTCGACATCGAGAGACGCGACATCGCCTAGAAGTACGGAATCCATTTTCCGATCAAAGAAATGTTCTTTACATGCAGATCACGAACCCGAGAAATCAAAGTATCTGAATCAAATGATATCGGATCTTGCTTCTGACGAATCGGAACCGATCAATTACTAGCTGAAGAATTTCAGAGAATTGGAGCTTCGAGGAAGAGGATCCTAGATCTTCAGGAAATGAATCAAACACATCTGCTATCTCCGACGCATCTACAGTGTTATATACATGCGCGTATGAGTGCGTGTATATATATATATATATATATATGCTTGCATCTATATGTTTGTGCGTGTGTGTATAATTTTTACAGTGGCCAAACGTATTGGTTACGAATTTATGGGTGATGAAGTAAATAATAAAATTTCTAAAAAGTTCTAATCCAGACACATGTATTTTATTGCAACATTAATCACTAAATCTTTATAATTGATTAATTAATTGGACAGAATACTACATAATTGTGATTTTCGGACACTTTAGAAGTTTTATAATTATTTAACCACTTATATTATTTTTTAATTCACATATTCCTAGCTTTTTAAATTAATAGTTTTGGAACATTAAAAGTACAAATATTTGAAATTATATAATAATTTTAAAAATCTAAATATAGATAAAGACTAAAAGAGTATGGCGTGGAAATATGAAGACGATAACGACGAATATTTGATATTCGTAGCACTGACTTATTATAAAATAAAAATCAAATGGAATATTGCTAATACACACAAAATTTTGATGCAACTTGAGTCTTCTTCCTGTTACAGATTCGACGTCAAATTGATTCCCGGTTTAAAAATCCGGTTAGTTTATATTTTTAAATTGTTGTCTCAATATTTGTTTGTGCCAAATGTTATAACTCATTTAATTAACTACACATTTTAATAGAATTAAAAATATTAAAGCTAATGAGCTTCACACGGACACGTATACATTCAATCCTTAGAAATCCATGTGCATTTCGTAATATATAGATTTTTAAAAAAATTTTATGGAATAAAATATTATGTATTTAAAATAATAAACATTTAAAATTGAATGGCAATTAAAACACTACAATATATATTTAGGATTAAATATCAAAATTCTTAGATGTAATAAGGTTCCAAACAATAAGCATCAAAAACCGGAACAGACCGAAAGGCTTCGTTTCATAATTCCACAACCATTAAACCCAAAGATATTTGGAAACGGATTTCATCCGACGTTTCATCAAACTCCGAATCTCCTCGTCGCGCTGTTGGGGTTTTTGAATTCACGAGCTGAATTTTCGTTTCCATGAGAATTCTCGTATCAGGGCTGTGATTGAATTACGAAAAGCATCTGAATTGGATCCTTCTTCGCCCAATTCTCGGATGCTTTTTCCCGAAATCAGAAGGCGAGTGAGTTCAAATTCCTGAAAAGGTTTCTTCTGGGTTCTCGGAAAATCGCGGCGAGACGAGAAAATGAGAGAAGGGTCGTGCTCTGAAAAAGGCCGTTTTGATCTGCTGAATCAGCTCGAGCATGTTCTTGAATCCGATCCTCGCATGTGAGTATACTACATTCCTGCAACTTCATGGCTGTGTTTGGATTTGGATTTTGCTTTCTGGGAAAATGAAGGAAATCCACATGTCCTTCTCTGATTTCATTGCGGTTTCATTCTGGTTGTGCTAATTTCAGGTTGGATCTAGCAAATTTTATAGCTTTCTTTTGCAAAATTATCGCATGTGATGTGATGATAGCTGTTCATCACAGTTTTTGTCATGGACTCTGATTCTGTTTGGTTGCTGACAACAAATACCGGATAATGATATATTACCTTATTACTTCATCTTCCATAAACTCATTTTTATGCATCTTCCTTTTGATCATAGTTACAATCGGGTTTAGAGGTCTTAAGCCTTTGTAAAATTCTCAATAGAGTGAACTCTGCAACTAACCCTTGACTTGTTTCTTTTTGTTTCACTTCTTGAATCTAGTGATGAGGTAGGGTTCATTCATCCTACACAATTCATCTTACTGGAACAAGAAGCAGGTGGATCGAATTCATATCCAAGTGAACCGAAAGATGGGATCTTGAGACATTTCTGGAATCGAGATCATAAACTGGGAATATCAACCGAAATTCTTCTCCCACTGTATAAAGCTGCTAAATCTGCATTTATGGCGTCCTTTGGGGAATACAAGAGGTGTAGCAACTCGTGTGATGAGATTCAAAACAAGAATATCTCGTCCGGGTTTTCATCTTCCCTTCATGCTTTAGAATGTGAAGTCATGAAGCATAGCCGAGCTCTTTTGCTGTTAAGCTCTGATTTTGCCACTGCATGGAATGCTCGGTACTCCAGATTCGATAATTATTATTTAATTTCTAACAGAGTGAAGGATTTACTCGTTTTCGTTTTCTGTTCTTTGCCATTTTGGTTTGATATTGTCCCGTTCGTGTTACTGACAGGAAATTGATCTTGTCAAAGAAGAAGCAATCTTCGGGATTCATGGATGAACTTCAACTGTCTGGCCTCATTCTTTCGAATTGCCCGAAAAGTGAGCAAACATGGAACCATAGGTCAGATTTTATCTTCTATCGCTCACTTTCTGTTCACAGTCTGCAGTTAAAATTTAAATTACTACTGTGATTTTCCTTCTACTATCGTTGTCACCATTGAGATCAGAGAATTATGGACCATTTTAGATGCCGGGGACTTTTGTAATTCTCTGTAGTTGATGATTGTTTTGGTTTTCTCATACAACGTGCATAACTGCTGCAATTTGTACGACTTTTTTCTTCACAATAAATGTAATGCTTTGCTCACGCTTGTTGGTTTAGCAGGAGATGGATAATTAAGATGATTGGTCAGTGCTTTTCTTCTCTACAAGAGATTGTCGGCAAAGAATCCGAGCTTGTGGAGAAAATAGCCGAGGTTTAGATTAGTTTTGGATTTGATGCTTTACATATAGATGATGAGTTTCCCGATATGTTTCAATGTTTCTGTCCTCTGATCTATCTATTTCCTCAAAACGTCTGTCTTAAGTGTCGTACTCAAATTATATCATTCTCTGTTATGTTTACTAGCAATATAACATTAGGGTAAAAGCTATTTTTCCTCCTGGAAAGGAAGTGGACTCCTTATTAAATAAACGTCTTTTTTGTTAGAGATCAAAGATGAATTATCGTGCATGGAATCACCGCTGCTGGTTAGTTTCCTACATGACAACCGAACAGGTGAAATCCTTCAATTTTTTTTTTCCAGATTTTCCAAGCCCTCAAGAACATATTCTCCGGCCAAATCACCATTCTATTTTTTAGTTTAGATGGTTGAATTTTGTTGAAGAATTCTCTGAGTTTTCACTTCTTTCATATTTACCGAACTGTGCTGCTTACATATCGTTTGTGTTTCCAGGTGCTACATGAGTTGGACAAATCCAAATATTGGACCATGATGCATGTAGCCGATAGTTCTTGCTTCCATTACCGCAGAGTAAGTTATATGCTGTTATTCAATTCTATGTCATTTCGGTGAACCTATATTACAAAAATCTTGGAAGCCATGAACTGTGCGAAGAAAAATGCTACCAGAAATGTGAGATATGCAAGTCATGAATGTCTAGAAACCGAGTTCCGGAAAAATTCTTTTCTGAGTCTCTGAGATTTCTAAACAAAATCAAAACTAAAAGATTGACTATGAATCTGGTGAAAGGTCATCATGACCTAGCTTGTTGATGATCTCCAGCGGCTGATGCTCAAGATTTTGGAGTCACTCGATACGAAAGGTTTCAATTCACATCGTGAATTTGAAGTACGTAAAGTCTGGAAGGTATGCTTAATGCTTTTCATACAGCAAAGTTACTGTCGTAATATCTGGCAAGTTTGATCTAATAAAACAACTCGTCTACTCTCGTATATGTTTTGTCCAGTTTTCTCGTAAGTTCGAAATGGTTCTTCTGCCTTGTGACAGGGGGAGCTTGAATGGAACAAAGAACTGATAGAACGTTATGTGGGACGAGAGGTATGGCCGCTCTTTGATATTTCACCAGTTTCAGGTAAACAAAGAAAAGAAACACGATAAGATGATCTGCCGAAAAAACGCCCGTTGTATTGGTGGCAAAACCGGCTCAAAGTTCCTAGGGTCTGCGTGACTGGTAGAAAAGGATAGAAAGTAAAAATATTACTCAAGTTCTCGGATATAAATTTCCAAGAACATCCTCTGTATTTTCTTGATCTACCTTCCATATCAATTCAACGTCTATTAAGTATTCTTGTTTTCTTTCAGGGCCTTTGGTTTCACCGACGATTTCTCTCCCTCTGTTGGATGAAGTATTTCGCTGGCAATGATCCATCCGAAACCGGGCAGAGTGGCATCGCCTTCTTCATGGAGAACGAGATAACTCTTCTGGTATCTTCTAGTAGAATCCCGGATACCAAGTATGAAGATTTCCAGGCACAAGCACTGCACGCAGCCACATACTTGATATGGCTACCACAGGTAGTGTTTGGATTCTTCTGCTAGAAAAGTTGTCCAAATTAGCTTAAGGCTTAGTTTAACACTGATCACAAGAATATCTATGACATTAAACGGATCGGTTTTTTCTTTGTTTCGGCCAAATCGTAGAGGTTTTGATATACTTGTAAGGGCTTAAGATTCGAAAGCTCGTCCTTTTTTTTATCACAATTAAATCGATTAGTTTTCTTTACCCACGAGTTTAAAGTTCGTTTTCTTTTTTTCATTCTGATCAGCGAATGCCGGGCTTGTGGGGAATGCTGGAAGGGAACCTTGGAGCCGAGAAACTGAAAGGTATGATGAACATTGCCTTCCAAGATAGGCCTGCCCTTTTGGTTGATTTGATGCAAACCATGAATGCAGCTCGGGAATCGAGGCCCGACGCAAAGTAGTAACTAGAAATATTCGGATCCGTTCCCTACTTGCCAGCAGTTTACGATCGAAAAGCAATTGTGATTCATCAGAATGATCATTTCCAGTGTTATAAACGGTTTCTAAAAAACGGAGAGCTTAGAACTTGCTCCGTGTGCTTGCGTGTCTGAAACATTTTCGTTTAGTGATCAAAAAGATGAGTTTGCGAGCATCTGTGTCAATTTTCTCCTATTAATTGTAGGGTTGGACACTGATCTGTACCCGAATCCAATTGTCTTTCGGATTTCGAGATTCAGAATCTGTTTAATCGAATTCAAACCCGATTTTCGTATTTTAACCGAATTTAAAACCGGAATTCGCTCACACAGAAAACAAATACCCGACATTTGTATCCAACCAACCAATCGGGTCGGGTACCCAAATTTCGATTTCTTTTCCAAACCCGTTTAGGTCCGAACTCAACCACAAAAGCTAACTTGTTAGAGGAAGGTGTCCATGGTATTATATTGACTTAATCGTATGTCTTTTGCAGTCTAAAAATGAAATTTAAAAAAAACGAAAGAAAAAGGTGAATTTTGATATGGACAACTCCAAGAAATGTGACAAGGACAACACTGGAACCCAGTATGCTTTCGGACCAAAAAAAAAACAAGACATAGGAAATCTCGGGGAAAATAAAAACATCATCGGCCTACAAAACTGTTTTCCTGTACACGAGAACGAGCGAAGGACAAAAGGCTTTTCATCCTTCGATTGGATAAGCAGAAGCTGGTTATTAATATGTCACTGCGTTTTCTCTAAGGGATTCTCCATTGTTTCAGCTTCTTCTGCAACTCCTCTGCTTCGTCTTCCATGCCGGCTTCAGCCACGCCTTCTATCAACGTCGAATATATCGTCTCGTCTGGTTTGCATCCGCCCGTTAGCATCACCTCCAGAAACTGGATCGCCATATCGATCTCATTTTTCCTGCACAACCCGAGAATCGCCATCTTGTAAGCGCTAACTCTGATTCCGTGTTCTCTCTTGCTGATCTCCTTCATCACTTCCGCACCCTTCTCAACTAGGTTCGCCCGGCACAACCCGTAAATCAAAGAACGACGGGTTATATCATCGGGAGTGATTCCATACTCCAGCATCTGGTGGTAAATCTTCAGAGCTTTCTCTACGAGACCCTTTCTAGCAAGCCCGTCGATTATCGTGTTGTAAGTGATCAGAACCGGCGGACAGCTTGTGTTGCTAAGAAACCCGAGCAACTGAATCGCTTCCTCGATCATTCCCGCTCGGGACATAGCTCCAAGAAGTGTATTGTAGGTTACGATGTCAGGCGAACAATTCCGTGACAGCATCTGGTAGAAGAACTCGATTGCACGATCCAAAAGCCCCGCTTTGCACAAACCGTTCATCAAAATGTTGTAAGTAATGACCGTCGGGCGATACGACGTCTGATACATGATGGTCAGAATCTCGGCCACTTCGTCCCAAAACCCGTGAGAGCAAAGGGAATGTAGAAGAGTGTTGTAAGTAATGGTATTCGGTTCCATCCCGTGAGAAATAATACAGCGTATGACCAAAGCTGCTTCCGCTAACTTTCCTTGCCTACAGTTATAGTTTACCAACGAATTAAACGTAACGATATCGGGAAAACAACCTTCCATTGCGATATCCTCCAGCACTTCCATGGCCCGAGAACTTCCACAATGCCTGCAAATGAGCTCGATCAAAACTGTGTAGGTAATCATATACGGAGGGCAACCTTTCTTCAACTGATCCTTCCAAAACCTAATCCCTTGCTCGGCAT